TTAAAATGTCGATCTGCCAAAGATGTTTTCTTTTGACCAAATTTTGAGACGGTAGTATTAGGAAAACCACTTGTGGATGAAATTATGTTTTTACATTTTTCTACTGATTTTCAGGATATTGATGCCATGTCAGAATGTTCTGGCGTGAACTCTGACCTTGGTTCAGAATGGCTGAGTGTGACAGGAAGTGATGCAGACGATGATGCAGTCAACCAATCACTGGTACAGGTTATGAAGGAGGTGGAACAAGTCACATGCAACTCTCCTGAAAGCAGAGTATGTTCATCTGTTAAATTTTACACACACTACAGTATTTCAAATCTTACCTGTTATGTCTATACATTCTTAATTTTTTTTTCAGTACTAAGATAACTAATAATCAGATTTAGTATTGAATAGGCATTAAAGTAAGGTCAACTGTGGTAATTACATAATGATTATGTATACAATATCAATTTTTAAGAATTATTATTATTATTATTATTATATTTTTATTTATTTATTTTTTTTGCATGTGTCATTCCTTGTCATGTATAGTTTGTTGTGTCTTATTTCAGACATACACAAGTAGGTTGGGTCGCAGAAGTAACACCAGGGCAGAGAGTGTGTGTAGTACCAGGTCTGAGGGAGAGACTTTGCAATGGAAAAAGGGAAATGTCCTTGGGAAAGGAGCATTTGGAACTGTGAGTGTGAAGAGTATTTATGCAAGTTGATATTGCAGCTTATCACGATCATTATAGAGAAGTAATGTGAACTAGCTTTAATGTCCGTTTTATAAGTGGCAATTTATGTTCTGTGTATTTTTTTAATGGGGGAAGTGCTTAACCTCTGGCAAAAGAACTTCTAAAAATTAAAATTGTAATTGTAATCTTATTTAGATGAACTGTAGGTCTAGCTCTTTGTAAGGTAGCCAGTGCATATTATTTTATACACTTAATCCTGTCTAGACACATTTTGGATAACAAGTACCAACATGTTATCTTGGTAAGAAGGTGGTATTTAGATATCTTTGTTTCAGCATGAATGAAATTCATTAAGGACAAGAATTCCTTTTATTATTATTATCTTATTTATGAAATGTTTTACCAGGTTTGGTGTGGGCTGACAGATGTTGGAGAACTGATTGCTGTCAAACAGATAAACCTGAATGTTCATGACATGGATAAAGCTGAAAAAGAATATGAGAAAATACAGGAAGAAGTGGACTTGCTCAAGACTTTAAAACATAAAAACATAGTTGGGTTAGTGAAAAAATTAAGATACCTTTAAATGCTCTGTGCAAAATATCAGATGATTTTTTCCTTTATAAGTCTGATTTTTATTTACTATGGTTCCTTAGTGGCAGTTAGCATTATATATATATATATATATATATATATATTCAATCAAACATACACTGGATGTATGATTTTATAAGATAAGACATTCTATATACCACTAAGATATATTTACCGTAAAGCAAAAAGGATATTGCAATAGTAGTAGTAACTGAACAGAAGTGCCCTAGCTGACATGGTAAACAGAACATGTGGTTAACATTACTTGTATAATCAAGTAAGTAAGTATATGTGCATTCCTTCCTTCTCCAGTTACCTTGGCACCAGTCTGGAGGATGACACAGTGAACATCTTCATGCAGTTTGTTCCTGGTGGTTCTGTGGCCAATCTCTTGGCACGCTTTGGGGCCCTGGAAGAGGTGGTCTTCTGCAGGTACACCAAGCAGATCCTGGAGGGGGTGGAGTACCTCCATGCCAATAATGTCATTCACAGGTCAGTGGTTTGGACAATACAAGATACATAGCAACTGACTTTTTTTCAGCATATACATTGCAATGTGCTTTTAAAGTGAAGTTGCTCCATATTTACTATCACTGCAATCCCTGTACAGCTTATAAACATAGAAAGCTTGTCTATAAACATATGACTTTTATGTGGTGCATTGAACAAGAGAAGGATGAGTCTGATCTTCTATGGTTATTTTATTGTTATCGTATGCTTGGTGAGGGTGTGGTCAATTACATTCTACTTGACTGGAAAAGTGCTTATACTGGTAGAAAGAATTTCACTGTTGCAGACCAGTAATAATGTAACTAAACAATTTTAAGAAATTATATTGAATGGGTTTCCATTTTAGGGACATCAAGGGAGCAAACATCATGTTGATGCCTAATGGTATCATCAAGCTTATAGACTTTGGATGTGCTAAGAGGTTGTGTATCAATCTCAGCATGAGTCAGACACAAATACTCAAATCCATGAAGGGGACACCATATTGGATGGCTCCAGAGGTGGTCACTGAGACAGGACATGGAAAGAAATCTGATATATGGTACACATTTAGTGTGATTTAAGGTTACATCCATTTGGTAGATTGTTGTACCTTTATCTGGCAGTTTAAAAAGAATGATTAAGCACCTAGTTATTTGTTTGAAAATATAGCAAAGGCTTTTGTATTTTGACTTTCCATGTATCTCTGCTACTTTCATTGACAGCAAAATTCCATTTTAGGAGTATTGGCTGTACAGTGTTTGAGATGGCCACCAGAAAACCTCCATGGTATGTAATGATGACACTATCACCTGCCATCTGGCCATGCTCTAATAAAGATTTGATTCTATTACTTATGTCCATTTCATAAAAGAAAAATGTTGTTGTGAATTATAATTTTTTTTGAGTAAGAAATTAGACTGAAGAATGTCCATAGTTTGGTATAGTTTTACTGATGCATGGTGGTGTTTTCAGGTCAGAGATGGCACCCATGGCAGCCATATTTGCTATAGGCTCAGATAAGCCAGTCCCCGAGTTACCTGCCACATTTAGTGAGGAAGCAAGAGAGTTTGTGAAAATGTGCATGTTAAGGTAAATTTGTTTTTACCAAGAAATACTTATGTCTGTTGTCCCACCTTTCCATTTATTTTATTTGTTCCTTGTTTTACATTTTAGCTTGTAAAACTCCTTTACCAAGATTTTTTAGAATGCATGATTTTATGAGTGGGTTTCTGAGAAGGGTTCACCTCAACTAGTGTCCACTGAAGTACATGTATTTTAATAACACAGATTTAGATCCCACCATAAGTCTACGTAATTTGGGTTTGATTAAAAAGTATTTTAACCAAATTTCATCTATTAACAATAAATACTACATAATATTTCTGAATACTCAACAAAAATTAATTTCCAGAGATCAAGATCTTCGTTGGGATGCATCAGCACTGTTGCAACACATTTTCATCACCAAGAAAAAGAAATAAACTGATCATGGACAAAGGATTATTTATTTCAGCTTAACTGCAGTTAAGCCTATGAAAATATAGGAGGCACAAAACCGACTTATATACCATGTTACATAAATAACAGTGACAGTAAACCAAAGTTGGAAAATGAGATCATTTTCATGATTTTATATTGAAGAGCCTTTCAAGTAGATTTTTACATATACTTGAAAATATGAATTAACTGATCTATATTCAGCTACCCATATACTAATTTATACAGGTTTTATCTGTATTGATTTATACAGGACTATACCAAGTGCATTAAATAAGGAAGGGATTTAATTGTGTTTAAAAACAAAGCATATTCGCCCCACAGTATTATACCCAATTTAATTGTTATTTGTGTTATTAAACAAAGAACACAAGTAAACACCAAGGTTTTGCCATAAGTTAAAAGGGTAAAATCAACAAAATTTAATATGAAAAGAGTAATTTACTAATTTAGTAAAATTATTAATTTTTTTTCATGTAGTCCCATAATGGTTGTGACGAAGGTTGTGCTTATTTACAATGGTGTATTTCAAATGTGAAAAGGAAATTGGTTATTAGCTGGGCCAAACAATATCTTGCATGTTATATTACTTTGTGCACTTAATAGTTTTTCTCAGTGAGATTGCTTGCCAGCTGTAAAAAGAAAATAATAAAACTTTTAATAGTTTACTAAAAAGCTTTAGAAAAGTAGGGCAATTGAAAAAACTGGTGAAAAAAAGCAAAATGTTCCTTAAGAGACTTCACATTATTTTTACTCACCCTTTATTTATCACTTGTCAAGTCGCTTTAGAAATGATTTACTTTTCCACCATATGCAAAAGACAACAAAAAACCTATTTGCTGGACTTTAAAAAAATATGTTGATAGATAGGTTTGATATCATATTATTTTATAATTTCAGGCAGCCAGTATTTATGTAGTTATACGTGTTGTTTTTTATTATTAATTTTAAAGTATTATTTATTTTTAAGTGCATCTTCCAGCACAATGGTAAGGTCTGTAAATAATGACTTATAATTTTTTTGCACTAATTATGTGAAATGTTATTTTAATCTCATTCAAGGGAAGTTGAGAAGCACTTCAAACCTGATCACTAAGATGTGGCCAGAAGTTGCCTTTTAATTGTACAAGCCTTATAACTAGACTCGAGCAATATTTGGTGTAGATAATTATAAGAGACAATCACATCAAGATGCAAAGGCCACACTTGTACTTTTGAAAGAAATAATTTTTCATAAAAATGTTGCCTTATGCATTTGCTTCATTGTAATTAAGAATAATGGTCTTCCTGATGACAATTAATATTTATATGAACTGTACCATATCAAGAAGAATTTTGAGGTGAAGTGTACTGATGTGCATGGTTGAAGTTTTGTAGTTTTTTTTACTGTGAAGTATATTAAACAAATGCACATTTCATATAAAAAAACAATAAAAAGCTGAAATGTGAAACTAAAATGAGTATTTTTATTATAGTTTTCATGATAATGTACCCGCCACCAAAATGATATTTCTCTGAAATTAATAGATTTGTTCTAATTTCAAATGGCACAAATGCAAATGAATTAAAAACTTCCAAAAGTATTAATAAATAAGAGAGATCTAGATGTTTATAAGAAAATTGTAATATGACAAACTAAAATGTACAGATATAGTGGTTTCTTAAATATCACAAAGAATATCAGTCAAGTAAGCAGCAGCTATATCTTCAAAAATTGTTGCTGTAGATCAAAATAAACCTTGACATTGAAAAATAAAAAGACCCTTGGAATGCAGATCAATATTTAGCAAACAACCATAATTTTTTCAACCCAGTATTTTGGTGAATTGACGCAAATCTTATTAGAAAGAAAAAGTTTGCTTAAAAAACATTACTTCCCAGAAATTGATCGAAATACATGCTGACATCATTCTAATAACATTTGTCAGAAATATCAAATATTGCACAACCTTATTTTTATTAAGGGAAGATCAATTTGCACTTCAGTATCTTGGCATTGCTAGGTTTTTTAAAGTTGGTAATTCTATAATTTCTCCACCAGTTCTATCCATGGCAACTAAGTAACAAAAATACGCTAAGAAATAATTTAAATACACCACAACCAATGCTGTAATATACAGTTATTTTCTGACAATTCTGTATAATATAAAGTTTCAAATCTTCTCTTGTACAACAATATACAAAAATATGTTGTGCTACCAATAGAAAATGTCACCACTTGGCAGAGAGCCATCTACAGGTCAATGCCAGAAACTTGGAGATGCTGCAGGTTGTTACGAGCTGAAACAAAAACAATACATGAAACTGCAGCAATGAACATCAATGAACATTTCTTTACATAAAACAAGGCAGCAAAGCTGTCAAATGTACAGACAAAAAACAGAAAATAAAGATGCAAAAAAGGTCATTTTGTCAATTTTGATGCAATAATAAATAATGGTTATATATATATATATATATATATNTATGACTATTCATCAGTTCTGAAAGTTTCAAGCCAAAAGGAAAAACAATTTTCCACTTATCGTGTTATCGGTAAAAGTGCACGACGGCGACGACGACAGACGCAGATGATGGCTATATGTACAGACACATCTGTGTCTGTACATAAAAAGCTTCACAAAATTGATCAAGTTTTGCTGTTTTGCGGATTCAAGCCTATCGGCTAGAAAAGTGACAGCAATAAAAATTCAATATTTACAAAATATTTATTACACAAAAATGAAAATGTTATGGAGATTTTCATTAGAGCAAGTCATTACAAGTACTTGTCTTAAATGCTGAATTAGCCAGCAGTGGTCTAAATTTTGCAAAATCAAAATAGCTGGATAAATGGTCACTACAGATTAGAAAAAGAAAAAAAAAGATTATAAATATATACACAGCAAATCCTCATAAATGGGTATGCCTGTACCTTCAAAGTATGTAGTGTCCTGTTCATCATCTGGGGCTGGTACAAATGGAGGTTCTTGCTGCAACAAGTTTTCCCAGTCTATCCCAGCAAACAAGGGGTGCTCTTTCACTTCTGAAATAAACATGGTACACAAGCCAGTTTTCAATTAACCATTTATGTTTTTTAACTTTGTTCTTTCACTGGTCTCAATAAACTGCTAACTAGTAACCAAAATGGTGGACACATGAAGCTTCGAGTCACAAGACAGTCTCTTTATGACAAGGGGTAGATTTCCATTTGAATTCCAACAATTGGAAAATTGCACTCCTTTTTAAATATCTTTGTTGATTGTCAATATTATAAATGTGCTATTGGGTTGAAAATATAATGGCCTTAAGTTTTCTGAAAATACTTTTATGATTATACCTTTAGAGGTCAAACAGATATTTCAAATTATTTTCAGAGTTGCTGATTCTCTCTATATAAAGTTAAATTGATACAAAAATATTTCACTGAAAAATCAACTTATTATATGTGTTGCACTGACTTTAAATCCTTTTTTCACATTTAATTTTGAGTTACAAACCATTTGCTTTTGGTCTTTTATCAGGATCTGTATTCAGTAATGCATCAATGGCAGTGTGTGCATTCTCTGAGAGAGCTTCTTCCTCCTCAGGCCATGGGATGTCTGAAATAATTTGATTGCAGTTTGAAAGATATCACTGAATGGTAACTTGTGGTTTCCACAATAAATACATATGTAGAAGCCCATTTATGACATCCAAAGTATGAAATTTATGAAATATACTACCGACAAAATTGGCAATTAATATTAAAGATGAGCATGTTTTTTTTTTATATAATAAACGGCAATTTTAAAACATTTAATAAAAACACTTACCTCTGTTAAGGATATTTTCAAACACCAGGTCAGGAGTTTGGTCATTGAAGGGAGGCACTCCTGTAAGGAACTCAAACAAACACACACCTAAAGCCCACCAGTCCACAGCCACACCTGAAGAAATAATGGCAAACAGAATGTTTCTATACATTCACTGAAAATCGGTCCAATAGCCAATAAATATATAACGAAACGTTTGACAACGAGTACTTTATAAGCAAAAATGAAACTAAGTGGGAGATGCTTTTTGAAATGCAACAATACAATAAGTTATTGATAAGGTTTCAGTTCTAATCTATCCCTTAAAAAAAAACTTATTTCTCTTTATTTCCAAATTATATTTTCATTGGATATTTATGAAAACTTATGCACTTATCATTATACTTACCATGCTTTTTCTGCAGCAAAAGTTCAGGTGCAAGATAATCAGGAGTTCCCAGAATTCTCTGCTTCTCTTGTGCTGGGCCGCGTCTAACACTTTTAGGAGTGCGAAAAGGTGGAAAACCTGGCTGCCCTGGAGTCATGAAAGAACCCTAAAATATACAAACATAAATTCATACTGAAGATCAGTCATACTATTTTTGTCATAATTTTAATATACTTTCAAAGTTTGAATATATCATTCTGAAGTTGTTTTCACCATGCAAAATTTAAAAAAAAATGTTGTTCTAAAACTTAAAGCAGCTTGATTACAAACATCCCTGTACAGATTTTTTTTAACCCTCTCAAGTCAAGAGAGAGGATACAAGGGTTACCCTTCTCAGTGCTGGTTTAGGTCCAGGAGTGTACATCATGGTGGAGTGTTTGCCAAACCCATCATCATCATCACTCCTTAAGTCAGGCACATCCAGAAAATGAGCATTCTTCTTCTTTGTGGATTTTTCGGTCATTGGACAGGTGTGCGGGCAGGGCTCAGAGTTACTTTCACATCTCTTCCTGGCAGGGTGTCCTTCTAAAATGGTAAAACATAAAATAAAAAACAGGCACATATGCTCCCCAAATATTTGCTTACTTTGTATTGGTGACATGACAGAACCCTAAAATATAAAATATGTAACAATTATTCAGACTGAAGATAGATTCAAATAGCTTAGATTTACTCACAACATACCTGGTTTGAAAAGTTTTGTAGCAGTAAGTTTAATAGGTACATCTAAAACTCTTAAATAACCAACATTTCACCAAAATTTACACTGAATTTTAAAAATTCACTAAATTGTTCATACAATACTAGTTGTTAAAACTAAATGACCAACAACTGGAGTACACAATTCAACGTACTCACCTACAGGTTTCACCTCAATCTCCTTATCCTCTCCACTTGTCTCTCCAGTCAACTTTTCCTCAGTGGACAACTCTTGAAAACTATGGCTTAGATCGTGACTGGAGTCTAAATTGTGCTCCTCCTGTGCCTCAAGTTCTATACTTTCTGGTATTGACTGGGGGCTCAATACACCAACAGATTTGCTGTCTGCTAAAGATGCAGTTTCAATGGAGGCGTCATGCTCAAGACTAGATACAGAACAGACACTGTTGTTGTGATCTTGTGTTTCTTCACAGAGTATTACACTTTGGGTGTTGAGCTGAAAAGCTTTGTCAGGTGTAGAATACATAGACTCAAATACACTACTCTCTGTAGTATAATGGGATGCACTGTATTTATAGTCACTTGCAGTAGCTATGCTGCTGAGCACTGACGAAGCCTGAAAATCACTAATACAGCGGCTGTTTTCTATTGAGTTTCCAACTCTGGCAGTTTCTATTGCACTGAAATCTGATGTAGCTGAACCTATTGCACTACTGGCTAACAGTTTTGGCTTCCAGCAAGAGCTTGGACTGGATCCTATAAAAAACACACTACTACTTGCTTCAGAAGGTCCATAATCAGCAGTGTAATTAGATGAACTCAACTCAGCACTGTCACTGCTGTGTTGATAAAGCACACCGTCACTCTTGGACTCGTGCAAGGGAGAAGTGTGTGTGTCCATAGGAGTGCTTTCATGATGGTCCTCAAATTTCAGAGAATTGCACCTTTTCAGCCTATGCTCATCCCCATGAAGGACCATGGTGTGAATTTCTGTTGTGAGGCCTGTGTGGTTGACAGCATACAGAACCAAAAGGTCTGCCTTTGATAAGGGGCTCTTTTCTACACAGTCAAAGCTTCTTTTTCTTCCTCCTGGGCCACTTATCATGTCCAATTTGTCTCTGTCACTAGGGACTTGTAGAAGCATGGAGGAAGACGCTTCTTTATTGGGAGTTTTGGTGTTTAAATGGGAATTCTGGGAATGTGTGGGAGATATCTGTTGTCCATTTGCTTTGTCTGTATGCTGCTCTACAGCACTTGGCATTTTTGGTAAATTTGAATCTGGCAATATGTGGAGATCCTGTTCTCCTTCATTTTGTCCATGAGGTGTCACAAATTCATTGTCTGCAATTTGGGAGTTATCACACACTTCATCTAAAACATCAAGGTTAGAAATGGGTGAATGCACTTGTGCATGACCAGCAGTGTCACAGTCTGGGTCATCTTCATTTTCCTCTTCTTCAAAAGACCCATCCCTCATGCTCCTTAAATTCTTGGCAGAATAAGAATTTTTTATGGACGAGTTGCTCTTGAACAGCTGTGGTGTGCTGTTCATTTCTGAAGCGCTGGCCAGTGAGGCTGATATGCCAAGTGAGGCTGATAGAGGTGTTGCTAAGGCAGGTTCAGGTCCTTTCACATGAGAAGCGACACTGCTTGTCCTTTGCTGAGATACATCCGGGGAACCAAGAATGGAATCTAGTCGACCTCGAAATCCTATTAAGGCTGGGGTACGTGAATTTCTCCTACCATGGCCAGTCATGTGGCCATGTTCACTTGTGATGGAATTTTTACGATTTTGAGATTCCTTCATAGTAGGCGTCAGGCTCTGCACTGGTGGTGTCATTCGAGCTAGTTGGATACTGTTCCTCCTCTCTGTGGGTGTTGCAAAAATGCTGGATTGAGCACCAGACCCAAAAACACCACTGCCCCCTACAGAGCTTTTCATTCGAGATGCACGTGGGCGCAGAAGAGGACTGTCAGAATATGAGAGGCTGTGTCTTCTGTTGGGATCTGGAGTGGTCTGCAACACAGATATATGTTCTTTATATTTCTCTATTAATATATTTACTTTAAAATGATGTTTAAGAAGTGTATGTGTAATCAATCAATCAATCAATCTATAATTTCAGTCTATTTAAGTAAAAATTATAACAGTGGTCTTAATTTTTTTTCATTCTCCTCTGAGACTGTACATATTAATGCCCAAAGATAATTTATAATATCATATTCAAGTAAGGAAAGAAGAACTCTCTTCTCAAAAGATCCCAGGATAATTTGAAAATAAAAAGTTTAAGAATCCAAAATCCTAGATAACGTCCCTTTATTGAATTGTCTAGTAAAATTTGACACAGATTGAATAATCCAAAAGAATACAAAGAGCAACTGTAGGATGAAATAAAGCAATATTTTATCAATATCATCATGAATTAAGCATGTCACTGTTATTTTGACATTAGGTTACAAAATGTAAAAAGAAATAAATGAAATGGTTTCGTCAGCCATTTTGTATCTATTTCAAAAATGGTTCTTGGAGAGTTGAAATTGTTAAAATTCTTTTCAAGTTATCATGCCTGGTATCACCATAAGTCTAGTCTGTCTGCCCATTAATCATTGTATCCACAATGTATCACTTACAAATCCAAGGGAACTGGTTAATGAGAGCACCTGTCCTGGTGTCCTGTAGAAGTCCTTGCCTCTGGCGCTGTGCTTGGCAAAGGATGGAGTATTCAGTACATCACCAATGCTTATCTCTATAGCAAAGTAACAAAAGAACTGCTTTAATTGCAAATCATTTGAATGCACCAAACTGGCTCCTGAAACTGAAAGATATTTCCAAGCCAAATAGTAATAAGATGGTTTGTTTTATTTTGTCTTGCTAATAATCAAAAACCCATTTTTCAAAATCAATATATGTGACTGAAGAGGCACCACATCACAGATGTTAAAATGAACTTTGTAAATAAATAAGAAGACTGCAGATATAAAATGAGATTAGATTCAAAGCAGTCTACAATTACACTAAATTTGCTAACTCACGTCTGTTCAAGGAGAGATTCGACAGACCAAAATCAGTCAGCTTGATGTGTCCTTCATTAGATATCAGCATGTTATCCGGCTTGAGGTCTCTAATTGATAGAAAATAAGTTTTTTTTTCCTCGTATAAGGGCACTTTGTGTGTTTGCAGCACAGAAGTAAATTTTTGTTTATTCTTTGACATCACTTAACAAGCAATTAAGGATAACTGGCTCTCTATTTCTCAAAGGGGATTAATTCTTCAGGCAAATATCAATGTAAGATACATCTTGACTATAATTAAAGGGAAATTATAATTATCAACTAGTTACATAAATTTTAATGCAACTAGTATATATGTCAAAGTTGTTTGTACATGTGCAGATGTGATGACATGTTTTACAGTACCTATGTGTGATGCCATGGTTGTGGAGATATTCCAGAGCCAATGTTACTTCAGCAGTGTACATTGTGGCCATGTCTTCATCAAAGTAGCCATACACAGCCAGCAGGGACTTGACATCACCCCCAATCAGATACTCCATCACCTGAAATAATACCGCTGATAGTGAAAATAATAACTAAATCAAAAAACCCATATCAAACTGAATGATACAGAATCATGAATGGTTAAATCGTGGCAAAATTTTGCAATCTTCAGTAAAATTCTAGGACAGCATAACAAAAAATCTGGACAGCATATCTTTTCATTCTTGATATTATATGTACTAAATTAAAAAAACTGATTTCAAAACATGCAAAAAAAAAAAAAAAAAAAAAAAAAAATGAATTCAAAGAAATGAAAGAAGTAATATTTCATATATCTAAGGTACAAGGATCTTATCTTATCTTATCAGGCCTTATAAACGTATTAGGCATTTTCTAGTACCACCCGCAGTGCTACCAGAGTGGATGAATGTTAGTGCTAGCCTAGGTATCGCTTTGTCGGTGCTTAATAATTTTACGGTGTGTTGGTTAATTTGTGGGTTTTGTGGTTAATATGAGTGTTAGTGCTAAAGATCTGCGGGTAGTGTTAGTAAAGGCCTGCACACGATTCCCCTCTCTGAAAATTTAACTTTGAATCAAACTACTTTGAAAAAATAATGATGAAGTACAACCATAAGATTTTCAGGATGATGGTTATGTTATAGTTGTGGAAAGCAAAATAATGAAAAAACAATAAACTGATAGTAAAAAAATCAAAATGAACAAATTTTACCAAATATATATTCTGCTTTGACTGTAACGAATAGAAAAGCCTCACTACAAATGGACTCTTCGTCAAGGCCAAGGCATCTCTCTCTGCAATCACTAAGAAAAAAAAATACATAGCTTTTAATCAGTATTTTCACACAGAAACAATTAATTTTGCAGTAGTTAGATAACTGAAATCCTGAAATTAATCTTATAAATATTACTTTGTATGCAGATGAAACACTGGCATTATACTGATAAAAAGATAAAATTTATTCTGTTAAAAATGGACAACCTAAGCAGTCAGCTACTATTAATAAAATCAGTATCTACAGACACAAATACCTTGATTGACCATATTTTTGTTGACCATCTCAGCTTTCTTCATCACTTTAATTGCATAGTATTTTTTGTGGTTGTTCTTTTTGCATCCCAGAAAGACTTTGCTGTAATAAACACATTTATCACAAAAGAATCTATTGTTTTTTTTCTTATTCTTCATTGGTTCAACTATTAAATAACAACATTTAACATTCAGTTCAACATAAATTCTGATTAAATGAAAATATTACTAATGCTCAATAGTTGCAACAGTAACAGTAGGAAGGATCATAGAATTCTAATAATCTTATCATATATATCTTGATTTCGAATAGTTAGAAAGATGGTCACCTCACTGAATAGTTATAAAAAATGAAATAAAGATAACCAAGTCCAATAATTTCTTGAGATTACAAACATTCAAAATAAATAATTGTCAAGATAACTTGAACACTTATGGTTATTATATTTAAACGTACCCAAAAGCCCCTCTGCTGATTGGCTTGAGGATTGTAAAATCATTGATGCTTGGAGCCTGAAAGGCGACAACAGTTTAAAATTAAACTATATAAACATGTGCCTTGTGGATCAGGTATTGAATGGACGCTGCTTGGTCCACATTACATGACAGTGTCTCAAAGATTTTAATAATTATTTTTTTAATTATTACATTATGGAAATCCCCCCCCCCCCCCCAAAAAAAAAAAAAAAAAAAAAAAAAGAGGAAATCCGTTTGAAATGCAACCCGAGCTTAGCAAGTGATTTAGTGTTAGTCAAATCAGGCCAATAATATTAGAGATTCTACTATATACGTGTTTAATTGCTAGGCTGTGAAGCCTAAGGATGATGGAGTACCATTTAGTAAATCAAAGAAGTAGAGAAAACTACTTCTATGGTTAAATCAAGGAGTTTAATATTTACCTTAGGTATGGCAAACCCATCACCGCCAACGCCATATTGAACATTTAAACCTTTTGGAGAAACATTTTCTTTGTTATGTTCCATTATGTTCAGACGATCCACTCTGGCATGTTTCTGTTTACTTCAGGTTATTATATCCAGGACATTTTCCGCTTTTCAAATCAGCGCCATGATGTTAGTCGAATCTCTTTGTAAAGAAGAGTTCCGTTTACATCCGATTTTCCACCAGAGGTCGACACCTTACGTAGTCGATTTTGTTTTTCACCTTTTCTCACCAGCCGTAACTTACAAATTCACGTAAATATGTACAAATAGCTGTAATTTTCGAGAGTACGGTTGCAGACACACCGCGCTCACAGCACATGCACTGAATTAAATTGCCCAAGTAATTGTAAATCGAAATTAGAAGGGAAATTATCCAACATCCTCAACTTTGCATCCTTTCATTGTTTGACAGTGAAAAGGACACGTGTGTTACAGATTTTATTTAGTCACAAAACTTACAATGTACAACAGCATGCACAAATTAAATGAAATCAGAGGCATGCCTAAAAAAGTGCAGGGGAGACCTCTCCTCTTCCATTTCATTTCACATAGCTAATTGTTAGGCCTCTGTTACCTCGTTTTTTCATTTCCACTTTCTTTTTTAATAAGGGTACGTATCTAATTCATTGCAGCAACTCTAAAATAATTGGGTGCTGTACGTGTACATGTACGTGGAATATAATTGAACTTAGTATTTTAAAATAATTTTAAAACGTTAAAAATAGCCTATCAAAAGCATTTGGGGTGAAGTTTTAAAATTATAGTGAAGATCTGATGCTGCGTCGACATCAGCAAATGGCTGTTGCAGTCTCGGAAGGTTGCGACGACCTGGCCACGACGACGCTCTCATGCCGTATCATAGTTTCTGTTTGCACCTGTTGGGACATAACCGAGGTCACGAGGCCTTGGCACGAGACTTCGAAACAAATATCATGTCGTAATGTTAACCTAATGCATTCCAAATCAAAAATGTGTGAGTTTGTGTTCTATATCAAATTAAATCATAGCTCACATTACCATTAAAATGTATATACATAAATATATAATACCATAGTGATAAAAACCGCGGGAAATGTTACTCATATAACCCAATTTACAACTAGGTCGTAGTCTAGCCAATCAATGGTCAATATGAGCACCCGGATGTGCAATCTTCAGCTTTGTTACACGTTGGAGACCGGCTGGAGCATTACTCAAGAAAGAAGTATAGTTCAAAGAGAAAGTATTGAATAACCTAAACCGGTTCTCTCTACTTTTGAGGGAAGATAATTGGAAGTGTCTCTCTGGAAGTTTTCGAAGTAATTCGTGAAGCAAGAAAAGAAAAATGATAGCAGACACCCCACTCCTGACCAGCAGGTACGATATGTTTTCAGACGTAGCCGCAACGTGGCCACACACTGTTCCTCTACTATACACGCTTATGCCAAGTATTTACAACTGAGTTTGTTTCATCTGTCATTGAATAGATGTACTGTGGTGTAAGTTAGTTATGGACAGTATGTTCAATTAATTAGGATGGACTGTTGCAAAAATAACGTAAGCTAGATGTACGTTCATTTGGTAGTTCACTTCCATTAGTAACATGTGCATCTTTTATCTTGGTGTCTTGTGAGTCACGCCCTCGCCTTGGTATAGTGCATATATCATAATATGTATATGTTATTATTTGTTGTTCAGAGGTCAAGAGAAGGAGTGAGAAACTGTTAGAAATATTTGAAAATCTATATTGCTCAAATGCTGAATACAAACTTGATTTCCAAAACTACTAGTAGTAGTTTTGGAAGTACTGACTTAGTAGGCAGTACAGCATGGGATTGTGAGATGTAAGGTATCTTCCTTTTCTTAGTTTTGTTCGAATTATCCCATGTCTATCCGTTTCTGACTGTGAAAGTAGTGAAAATGTCCTTATTCTTTTCACAAACAAACACAAATTAAATTCATGAAGATGTTTTGCCATGTACAGACTGGTAAAAATATAAGTTATGTTTGTAATGTAATAGCACTCAATAAACTATCTGTAGGGTACTAAATAAGTGGATGCATTGTTAGATATAATTAATGCTCTCTTTATTGCATGCTTGCCTCCAGATGTTGGGAAGATAGTGTAGTATGAGAGAAGACATACAATTTGCATAATTAATTTGTGTTGCTCAAAAACCTGATGTTTTGCACATGGTGCTTGAGGCATCAGTATATGTTTCAAAACTGAATTTTGATTTTTAATGTTCTATTCACATTGGTATACCAGTGCATGCATATGAATGACCATGTGCAATTGGCTAGCATGACAACATAGTTAAGAATAATGAATATAATTAAACATGCAGTTTATGTGCATGCACACCATAAATGGGAGTTACATATAGTTTGATAAATAAGTAGACGGATGAGTTATTATTTCAAAAAGATCAGTTGTCAAGGAGCTACTGGGTGGCAATTGATAAATAGCGTAAGAGGCTATAAGATCGCAGCATGGCATTTGTTCTAATTAAACCAGTGAGCATATGACTGAAATCTAGACCTTATACTTTCATAACCATATGCACCTGTGCACTAAATATGGAAGCAGAAATCATGTGGTTAAGTCCTGCTGGACCTACTTCTCTGCATGAAGTTAAACTCTAAGGTTTTCCTTGCCATCTTAGAAGATACTAGATACTGAAGTTTATGGTTGTGCAGGGTTTCCTTTATTAGATATATTTTAGGAATTTTCTCTTCAGTAGGTTACAGATAGCCACAGTTCACTGCTTCTCTGGCATAAATAGAAACTTTGGACAGCGAATGAAAATTAATCCTGTTTGATTAGCAATCAGACGATCAACAAAACACAACATCATTACTTATTGTTGTTCAAAGTTTTTATATTTATATTTAACTTTTCTCTCTCTCTTTTTTCAGTCCCTGGCAATCTGAAAGCCCACTGACCAAGGACTATAAGAATGTCTTTTTGGATATTGACAGTATGATTGACATGGACTTCAATACACTAGAAGCAGAAGTGAAAAGGTACTCAATATATTTCTTGAATTAAGATAATTGTTTAAAATATTTAACGAAAATATTTTGGTCTGCAATTTTATTTTGATTTCAGTGTTTCTAAATGTAATTCCTAAACAGATGAAGAAATGTTGTTTTCAATTTAATGAGATGGATAAATAAGATGCAATTTAGATAGTTGCTGTAGTATATATGTAGATTGTCAGTCATTACTATAAAAATCTCCATAACTTCCATCTTAATAGTTCTATTAAGTCTTTGAAATCCATTCATGTTTAAATTTAATGAAAGTATTAATTCTGGCTATTATATCTGCCCCTTTAAGGTGAAGAAAACTTCTGCATACCAAAGAAAGTCCCTAATTATGCGAGTTAAGCACATTTCATAACTTTATGCATATAAAGCATATTTTCCTCCATTCTGCAGGGTAAGAAATGACAAGTCACAGTCCCTGTCAACCAGCTTCCAGACATATTACAACATCACTTCCAGTGGAACAAGTGTAGCCAGCTCAGAATGTAGTGAGGAAACCTTCCTGGATCTGGAGAAGGAGGTTGATGACACAAATTTCACCCTCTTCTCTTTGTCAGATGTAAATGAAGACTTGGATACATCTTTTTCTAAAGTGCTAGAAAATAATTCACAAGGTAGATAACTGATGTTTGTTGCTTATCCAGGTTATCCTTGTACATTGTTTTGACAGTTTACATAATTAGTAGAGTGATAGTATCATTTCCTTATTTTTTTGCTGAGATTTTGATAAGAGTTTGCTCTTTGAAGTTGTTTTTATGAAATGGGGACTGCTTTATTTACACTGAAGTTATTATGTACAAAGTTTTTGTAAAAATTATATGAACAGTTGAAATAGAGTAAATCATATGGTTTTAAACTAGATTTTTGTACAAAATTTTAACAGCAGTCTTTTGTATTTTCTGCAGATACATTGGAGACTCATCCATGGACAGACAACGAACTGGGTATTACAACAGATGTCCTGACAGACATAATTCCCACGTTGCCAATCTCCCCACCTTCACCCAGAAAACGCACACATTCAGAGAGTTTCACAGATAATAAACCATGGTAAGGAATATGTATGCACATGAGAAAACCCAGACATTCTAGTGTCCAACATAACTGACACATTTATTACAATTTAAATAATGTTTGATTGGTGTGAACTGTAAATTTGATTTGTAACATTTCTTTTGATTAAGATTGTATATTGTCTTTTATAGAATTTTTATTTATTACAATAAATGTTAATATAGGAAATCTAATACTGGGTTATTGAAGAATTGTTTGTAAAGGGGGGGGGGGGGCACTTCAAGTAGACTGGTAGCAATATTCCTTGGCTGACAGTTTGTAGAAGTGCAAGACAATATGTGGACCAAGTTTGCTGCTGTTGCAATTTTATGAACATCAGAGAATAGGTTCACTACAATGCACATGAATAAACCTGGTCTATCTGAACTCTAGAGTTCAAGAATTGGATAGACAGTATTCAAAATGGTTTTAAAAATTGAGAACTTTGTGTCCATATTTCAACAGTTTTTTTAGTGAAAACTCTTAAAACAATTCACTTAAAATAATAAGGGCAGCAGTTTAACTTACAGCACTTAAACTTTGCCTTTATTATTTTTTCTATTTTTGTCATTGTCAGGAGTAATATGACAAGTCAAGAACAGATTTCCACAATTGAAGAGCTCACAAGGATCATTAGTGAAGAAATGGGTCTCAGAGAACAGATTGAAGTGATCCGAATTATTAGTCCAAATGCCCAGGTTTCACCCACAGATACAGAGTTTGTTATTGGTATGCTTTTTATTCTTCTTCATTGATGGTCCATTTTTTTTTCTAAAATATAACCATTCCTTATTTCCTATATTGATAATGTCAGTTTGTTTTTATAAAGGCGCTTGAGCTTTTTCTCTTGATTAAAAGGCGAACCCAAGCCTAATTTCTCTCTTGGTTTTGTGAATGACTAGCACAGCTATTTTGACCACTTATGGTCTTTTATGCAACTTCATGCTTTAATAGTGTAAAAAAATTGTGGATAAGAGCCCCTGAAAATTAATAATTTCTAACTTTTTCTAACCTAATTTATGTTAATTGTTTTGGAAATGGCCGTAACCTTCAAAAATCAAGGTCAATCAGATAACTTGGATAAGGCATTGTTTACAATTTATCATTTTAGAACTGGACTGGTTGAATGATGAAAAGCTCCAGAGATTGAGAAAGTATGTAAAGCAGCACTCCAGCAACAGTAGCATTAATGGTGACCACTGTAGTTCCTGCAGCAGTGTGTCAGACCACAGTGATGTAGAGTCTCCGCAGAAAAAGGCAAAAGTGAGTATCCTGGTGTCATTTCACAGCCCCAGAAATCTTGTTTTAGTTGAAAAATGGTTATCATTGGAATGTCATGGAAAGATTTCAGTGCTAACCTTTCACCAGACTTTGTTCCAAGAAATATATATATATATATATATATATATATATATATATATATATATATATATATATATATATATTTTTTTTTTAATTTGAAAAAAGGACATGAAATATGCTCATGAGTTTTTTGCAAAAGAAATGCTGGATATTTTATTATAGTTTTGAAATTTTATCTTCATCAAATTAACAACCTGATGGAATGTTAGATTGATTTTCTGTGAGGCATTAAAGACACCTTGCTTTCCTGTCATGTGGACAGCTTGGGATATATTACTAATGCCAGATTAAACAACAGGTTATAACTACCATTCACTTAAACTTAGAGGTGAATGGATCTAATGCCTGCAAACACTAGGGATACGTAACCCTATTTAGAGATGAAATAAAAAGACTACTTTATCAAACTTTTTATGGACTTCATTTGCTCATGTAAACCAGCCTTACAAAGTTATTGTCTTTAAACTAGGTCTGTTACAAGATAAAACACTTATTTTTTATTTTCAGCGTGGTCTGAACAGAGAGAGGCGAAATCAACTGAAACTGGAGAGACAGCGACAAAGAAAGGAATATCGCCAAATGATGAGAGAGAGACGAAGTGGTCTGTTCCACAAGGAAGAAGTTCTTGCTCTGACCAATTTTGAGCCAGTGGAAGAAGAAGTGGATATATTAACTTAACATTGTTCAATAAATAAAGAAAATATAATTTATTGAGAGTTAATGTGTTACAGTAGTACTTATCATTTTGGATAGCAATATTTATGTCCATACCAGGCTGTCAGCCAAGTTTATGATTACTTTTGATCACTCATTTTGAGAAGTGTGGCAATTTAGACTTTAATTTTGCTGGTGAAGAATGATTATGGCATTTGACATCAGGGTGTCATGAGAATGTATCTTTGTGGTAAAAGATGAACTAAGCTGGGTTTTGCAATGATTTAATTATCTACATGAATCATTTTCTTTTGTGGAGTAAAATGTAGCCAACTCGAGTCTCAAGTAGTTGATTTTGAATTTGAAAATTTTTATTTTGTGCAAAATCCTCTCAATTTTGACCTTGTGTTTTTGATGAGTAAATTAAACATCTGCAGGGTAGGTTAAACATTTTTTGCATTTTGGGTTTACTAAGACATTGAAAAAGGAAGGTTTTTGTGGCAGTCTTCTGTAAATAAAAGATTGGTAAGATAATTAAATAGAACTTTGTACTATTCATATGGTTTCCCAATGACATAATTTATATTTTGAAATGCTTGCAATTTTTACTTTTGTATTTGAAAACTTAGTTTTTCTTAATTTTTTAAAATGATGTGAATAATATTACTAGAAACTTTATTGTGTTCAGCTAAATTGGTAATGAAAGACGTTTACTGAAGTTTGATCAGTACAAATAACACCAAAAAGTTCCAGAATGCAGTAAATGTCTCTTCCAGATTAAAATTAAGATGTAATGTATACAATATTTTAAGAAGTGCCATTTTCACAAGAGAGAGTCTGAACTTAATAGCAAAGGAATGCAGTGAAATCTGTTGTATCCAGGCATTAAGAGAAAGAATAAAGTATGAAAACAAATCAGTGCTTTTTCATCTTAGTTTTATATATAAAAAGAAGACCAAAAAAACATTAAAAATTAATAGAAAGTTAGATATTGATCTTCAACAAGTGAGATGCCTTGGAATGTTCTCTTTTGTGTAATAGAGGTTTGGATTAAAATACTTTACTTTCCCCACCTTTAATGATTGTTTTTTGCACCATCAAAACTGCAGCTAGAATAATACGACTCCCGTTTACGCCATACCATTTTCACATAATCATCAAGCAAACTAGCAAATTATTCTTTAGTTGCTTCTGCAGATTATAAATTTAACATCACTTTTCCTGAGTGAGCAACGACTCAGCCGTTAGAGGGCAGTGTCTTCAGTTGGCAGTCGATAGGTGTCCTGTCTTGGGTAAAAAAAAGGAAGCAGCTTGTCTTGGATTGTTTAATGATGGCAAATGACGGACAAATTCTTAACCTATTTCAACAACGTGCAGGACAGGATATAAGTCCAACAGATATTTCAAAGGCTCTGAAGATTACTCGAAAGGAAGTCAACCAGGTTTTATACGGCATGAAGCGTCGAAATGTCTTGCAAAAAGTGTCAGATCAGCCTCCCCTGTGGCGAATGGAGGGAGGAAACCCAGATACTTCCACTTTCGATTCGTATGTTGGTGGTCCCATGCAAAGTGTTCGTTACCATTGCCATCATGACCACGTATGTATAAGAAAAAAATTAATAAGACTTTCTGAAATGAAATTATTGATATTATCCCAGTGGTATGATAAGGATAGTAATGTATTCATGATACTGGAGGTTTAAGTTTCGGACTAAGTTCGAATAAATAACGTAGTTTGGCACGGCCTAGCTTACATTGCCTGGTAATTTTGTTTTAAGCAATAATAACTCTTCCTTTGAGATTTAAAATTCCACAAGAAATACATTGTAAACAACGCATGAAAATATATTATATAGGTATATCAGAAAATTTTTCAAACTGATCAGAAAATTATAATACTTATATCTTCTGAAAGGTAATATGCAAAAAACAGATGAATTCATTTAAATTTGGAATTTTTAAAATATTCCTACAAGCAACAAAGATATTGAAGTTTTTTAACTGCAAAATTTCACCAAAAGTGTCCACACTTTTCAGCTAAAAACCTGTGACCACTGACCAGCAGTGATCACTCTACTTGCTGCAGCTCAAATTGCTTTACCAATTAGGGCAATTAGGGCTCTATGTTAATCTAATGACCCGGAAACAAACCCAAATTTGGCGACTGCACAAGCACATGGCTGGGATAAATATTGCGCATCAAATAAACTATGCTTCGCATGGTTCAATTTTCATGATTTATGGCCATAATATTGCATATTTCATGAACTTTACACTGCATAAATTACAAAAACTTCCATGCAGTACTTATCTCAAATTTTAAACATTTTGTCGAGGCAAAACTTCAAAATGTCCTCAAATCAAAGTTCTCTAAGACTGCAAAAAATCACGTGACCGGAATTTACTCTTTGATTTACAGCTTATTTAGTAAATGACTTGTATTAGTTTATTTACACGATGCTAAAAGAGAGATTTAAAAAATGGGTGGTCATAGGGGAGCTGTTAGCAGGCTGGTCTCGGTTTTGCACTTCACTGCCCCTGGATAGTTACTACTGTGGCGCCCCTAGTGGATTGTGATATACCTTTATTATATTGTTTTTTAACACTAAAACGGCTGTTATTGTAGTAAAACTTAAATCTGTGCTTGTCAATAGGGCTTTCGATTCCTTTCTTACCGGTCGTCAAGGCATCCGTTGCCAATGACGTTGGGGTGTCTCGCAGTAGTAGGAATAATCATGAATAATCACCCAATTACTTTTTTGGTATACTGGGTATGCTAATACATGAAAGATATAATACATGTATTTGACAGGTAATCAACTACAGTACACCTTAAGTCTATTTTTTTAATTTATGCAGTAAAAGGGTCAATAGATAATTTCTTTTATGTAAAAGTGCTCTAGCATGATTATTCTTGTATGTATGATATTTGTCTTGGTAGTATGACATTTGCTTTATGATGGAAATTGATCATGTGAGAAATCCATCCATAGTAGATATATTTATCTCTGAAATATGTACATGATTTATTAACTAACTGTCTGAGAAACAATTTGATGACCTCACATTCTCAAATTTTTACAGGTATTCTACACAATGTGGATATGCGATATAAGAGTTAAGTAATTTGTGACATTCCTTTCTCTTTACAGAAACCTTACTCAAGACCAAATTTAACTGATCAGATTTTTGAGGTCCTGAAGAAAAATGGATCAGCCATGAAAACAATAGACATTGCAAGAGCTGTTGGATTACATTCTGCTAAGGATGTCAATAGTACATTGTATAGGATGGAAAAGGAAGGACTTTTAAAGAAAGCAAATGATCAGCCTCCTTCTTGGATGGTCTTGAGAAGTGGAGAGAATGAAGGCACTTCTAAGCATAGGCCTCATCATTCTGTCCCAGGTATGTCTAGTTTTCAAAACAACCCTGAACTTGACTCAGTTTCATATCCACAACATGAACTAATGGGTGAAACAACTCCACCTGGTCCAGATGAAATTAGTGACACATTAGAAGTGGATACAGATGATTCTTCTGTTCCAGAGAGCTCTAGTGCTCAGCATGGCTCACAGACCGATCTTGCAAATTTTGACATGTCTGATGCAGAACAAAACACTACACCAGATTCCAATAACAAGGCCAATTTAGAGATGCAGTCAAATCCTCCGGGTGGCGGTGACTTTTCACTCTCCAAGCCGACCACAAGGACGGGGCCCCCACTGTCACCAGCTGAATTGCTGAAAGGTGCCACTTTTGGAGACCCAAGGTACAGAATGGCAGCAGTCTCTGGTGCCAGCTCAGCACCAGGTGCACCACCACCACCCTCTACCCTGAATGTATCTTATGTGACTGACCCAACATCTGGACAAAGTAGTTTTATGAGAGAAATTTCAAAGCATCAATCTCCACAGATTCAGCCTCAAGAGCTTCAGAAAAACATCCTGGAATACGTAACAAGGCAACAAGCTCCTGTAATTGCACTAGACATTGCCAAGGGGATTGGACTGTCAACTGCCAAGGATGTCAATCCCATGCTCTACCAATTGGAAAAACAAGGGCTGATAACAAAAGTAGACCAGGCATATGGATGTCCTAAATGGGGAGTTGGTTCAGCTGGAAAAGAAGTGACACCACCATTATCCTTGACACCATCTCCTGCACACTCACAGATTCTCAAACCATCCAAATTTTCTCCAGAATCACTACTTTTCTCTAGACCAAATATTCCTACAGCACCTATGACAGCAAAATATCCTGGCACTGAGAAGGTAACAGGGCCCCCTCCTTCTCCAATGGATCTAATCAGGCAGACCACCACTTGGGGAAAAGGTGCCAACCCTACTTTTACACCCAACACATCAACCTCAGTGAAAACACCCGATTCAATAAACCTGGATAATCAAGCAAAGTTGTTAGCAGGATTGAATGTAAGGCCATCTTCAGTTGAACAGCCTGCTGCCTTTGCTTTATCAGAGCAACAGCCACAAAGTAGTTTTCCTTCTCTAAATAGTGACTCGTTTGCAGCACTGAATAAGAATGCAGTCAGTGCCCTTATGGAGTATGCACAATCAAGAAAGACCACTGCCACTATAGAGGTGCTTGGACAAAGAGGACCACCCCACAAACCTCAGTGAGTATGATTTGGTGGGGTTTATGCCAGATTGCAGTTGAATATTCATTTTTATAACAATAACTGTCAATGTTATTTATTCTTATCACATCATCTTTTATTTTTCAGCAGTTTGATTTCAAGTATTTCAGCTACTATAATGTTACATAGCTTTTATTGAAAATATGGCTAAAATAAATCAACAGTTGTCTAAATGATTTTCAAACTTGATTTTGCTAAAACTGCTTTTGAATCAAAAATACTTTTATAAAAAAACTATTTGTTTTTTATCAACAGTTGCCAACCCAGCCATCCATCTTTGATGGTGTTTTTTGTCTTGATTTATTCAAATTGTTACAATTTCTGATCCCATTGTTTCTAGGTTTGAAATGGCTGCTTTTGTAGGCACAAGGCGGTTTCCATCAGTGATAGCCACCAATAAAAAGGATGGTAAAAAAGATGCTGCTGACTTGGCTCTTAGGCAGCTGATGGCAGAGGGATCATATCAAGTGGCCAGTGCAACACCAGTAAGTTGGAATTCTTATGCTTCAGGCCTCCCAAAGAGTTGCAATGCAGAGAACAACCACAGCAACAACATAATGATGATAATGATACAATGATATCATAATGATATAACCACAAAAGAGTGCAAAACTACTCTTTCTTAAGGTGTCAATTTTTGGAAAGTGATTTTACTTTTTTTTGACAAAATAATCAAGATAGTAATCAAAATGTTTTTACTTATGTAGGGCATTATTGAAATTTAATTGCAGTGATATTTTGTACTTTTTAGGCTGTAGACATAGTCCAACAGTTAACAAGTACCTCATCCACACATTTTGACAAGATAGCAGCTTTGTCTCACCAGGCTTTTAACCTTATTGCTGCCACTGTCACAGAGAATATGTCAGGGAAGAAAGTGCTGGCAGCTCTAGTCATGAAGAAAGACCCTACAGATACAGGGACAGTTGTTAGCCTTGGGACGGGTTAGTATGAACAGATTCAGCCTTTATGTTTAATTGCATATAACAAATGGAATCTTTTCAGGGATGGATAGAGACATTATGCCCTACAGGTATACTGACTTTAAAAATCAATGTTGAAATTTTATTATATGTTTTGCTTTATTCAAGTGGTTTTCAAGAAATATTTCATTATGGTTGTCTTTCAGAAAATTCAGGAATAACATTTGAATCTGCCCCTGACTTTTAAGGAGAGGATGGGACATATAAAAACATGCTGTCAATTTTGTAAAGGATAAAAACAAATATTTTCTATTTCTGTAAACATTGAAAGCCTTCATTATATGTTATATAGTTTTGAACATACAATTTTGTTTTCAGGATCATCCAATAGCTTTGTATTTTACAATGCACATGTTTCTTCTTTCAGGTAACCGTTGTATTACAGGCCCTATGCTTAGTATGGTTGGAGACACTGTCAATGATTCTCATGCAGAAATCATAACAAGGAGAGGTTTTCTCAGGTAAAATTAAATATAATGGTATATTTCAATTGTATAAGGTTGTATAAGGATCTATATAATACATTTAAATCATTGGATGGAAATATTACTTAAAAAAGAGAATGTCGTATCTAGTCAGCTTTTTACTTTATGCTGTATTAAAATAACATTTTCCTCATAGGTTTTTATACAAGCATCTTGAAAACTATTCACCCAATTCCCCTGATACCATACTTGAAGTTTGTGAAGAGTCTGGAAAAATGAAGATCAAAGATGGTATCACTTTCCACTTGTATATATCAACTGCTCCTTGTGGAGATGGTGCTCTGTTTTCTCCAAGGTAATGCATTTACCTCAGGCTTTAGCATGTACTGATTTTTCTTTTCATAAATTATTAGAAAGTTAGGTAACTATAATTGATATACCAAATTTTCACTACATAGTAATTGTTATGCTGTGTTTACAGATTATGAATAAAACTGAACATGGTGTGATTATCAGTCAGCTTTTTCTTCAGGATGTGCTGTCAAATGACAAGAATTCGGATTTTAACTTCCATTTATTTGAAATTTTATTTATTAAATTTTCATGGTTATTATAATTAATTTTTTATTTTTAAGGGATGCCACAGGCCAAGCTAAGGAGGAAGACAATATAAAAGAACATACACCTACATTCACCAATCAGCTTCAGGGAGTGCTGAGGACCAAAGTAGAAGACGGTGTGTAAAACATTATAAATACTTGATCATATTTTAAAAAAAATTTTTTGCACAGTACAGTTTAAAAAGAAATGAATACTGATGCCAAAGGAGAAAAGCCGAAATGCTGTTGAAATTGTACCTATTTTTAACTGTAAAACATGAACTCCCCATGTATTTGTATTAACCTTAATCAGTCATTTCTGTACAGGAGAGGGCACGATTCCCATAGAACCAGGTTTCACAGGACTGACCTGGGATGGGGTAATGAGAGGAGAGAGGCTGAGGACTATGTCATGTAGTGATAAACTCTGCAGGTGGAACATACTGGGAATGCAGGGGGCCCTGCTTAGTAACTTCCTTGAACCCATCTACTTAAGTTCATTGACACTAGGTAAGAGTTGAAATAAGTAATATGTATTATTATACCCATTTTACTCTATGGTTAAATGTTCTTTACATCTGTGTGTCATTTTAAAGGTTTTAACAATAAATGTAAAACTTTGTCTTTATATATTTCAAGACAATGGAAGTTCTACCATGGTCATATAAGGGGGGGGGGGTGTCAGTTTGATAAACTCCATTATCCCATAAATATTATTTCTATTCACAAATTAATGAAAAGAACATTAATGGAATTTTTTGGACCTAGATTTGTAATGATTCTGTCCAGTTTCTGTCTTGACTGCGAATATTTTACATGCCTGTTTCAGGTTTACTGTATGATCATGGTCACCTGTCCAGAGCCATGTGTTGTCGCCTTGCCAAAGGAGAACCAGACTTGAAAGAGGTTCTCCCAGAAGGCTACAGACTTAACCATCCCCATTTGGGTCGAGTGACCATGTACGAGGCTCCCAGAGAGACCCAGAAAACAAAGTCAGTGAGCATCAATTGGTGCTGTTTTGATAGGAAGGCAGAAGTAACAGATGGGACCAGGGGGATGGTGGAAATGTAAGTAGATACAGGGAACAATGGATGTGAATGATTGACTTTTTGATGTGATTTTCTTACACTTTGAAGACAGTTGTTTGTGTATGTGTACATGTGTGATCATTCACATGCACCAATTTAAACAATTACTGCTATTTTTGGATAAAATTGCTTTTGCTTTATTTCAGCTGCTTTATTTTAACTGTTGTAAAAGTTATTTTTGTACACAAGAATGTGCAATTAGAAAGTTTAAGCAGCTTTTGCCATGTTTTTACCAATTTAGTATACTGTGTCAAAGAATTTGCAGTGTCTGGGGTTACTGTAATAATGTTTTTGGTAACAACCTGAAAACACTTGATTTATAAGTTCCAATTTTCTTGGAATTTTCATACTTAGACAATATGACTTTGAAACAATCTGTAAACAGTGCCTTATTTAACTTTATGTATTACCATTTGCAATAGGGGAGGGAAGATCAGTGTGTCACAGCTTTCCAAGGGTGAACTATACAAGAGTTACAGGAATGTATGTGCCAAATTTAATCGCACGGACCTGCTACAGGCTGGCTCTTATTATGAAGCCAAGCAAATGGCTGCACAGTTTCAGGAGTCCAAGCAGATCATGTATCAGAAATTTAAGAAAAACAAATTTGGTACGTGGGTGAAAAAACCCCAAGAGGAAAAAATGTTTACCTGAAAATCATCTGTTGATATTCTCATACATGGTGATTTATTTTCCAGTGAATCGTGTGCTTTTGCATTGGGTAGAAAACTAGGCTGCTGATACATTAAGTTTATAACTATGAAGATATGTTTTTAGTGGCAAAATTGGAACTTTCCACAAATCGTGTACTTTCTTTAACCTTGACCTGTTCAATGAAAATTATTTTACAGAGGTTTTCATGAATAGTATGAATATATACTTGAAACTTAGACAAGTATGTTAGTGGAACAGTATTCCACATCTCCTCATGTTTTTGGTGTCTATTTCTAAATTTTACATCTTTCTGCTGTTAGGGTCAGCTACACCCTAGTTTCAACGTTTTTAAATAGTTGTTTATTATTTGTAAGTTAAAGGACATACAAGAGTACAGAACTTGCATATGTACAAATTTGGAGCATGTCAAGTCAAGTCATTTCTTGACAACTGATGTTGATTTCAACATATTATCTTGCACCTTTCCTGCTCCACTTTATTGGGTAGATGTGAACTTCGACAATGCTGAAGGAACAGATTCAATTGTGAGATCTGTCTATGGAGGGATGTTCAGAAATATAAGAGTTTTAAGTTGCAAAGCAGTTTATTAAACTTGAAGTCATTAAGCTGCAAAGCAGTTTAGTTAAACTTGTAGTTAAAGAGGATGAGGTGCTGCCAGTGATATTTACATGTACTTTTTAGAAAGTATTTTTCTTGTAACCAGATAAAGACAGACAAAACATCTTTTAACAATAACTGGCATTTACTTTTAAGTTAGTCTTTTAACACATAAAATGAGCATCAAATTACTGCTCATGTTCATAAAAGGTGATTATGTAATTCATACTTAATTTTGAATAGTATGGATTAACTATGTCAGTCGTAAATTTTATTTTTATTTGCTGAATCCTTTGACCTGATTTTTTCTTGGAGGAAGATGCTTTGTGTTAATAACAAAGATGTTTTTGCGAAATTTAACAAAGTTCCTTTTTTGAAATATATATTGTGGTAGTAGGTCAAATATTTTTATATTAAAATATGACTCTTCTGCCTGATTAAATGCAAAAAGAACGCATAAGTCCCAAGTGAAGCACAACAACTTTATTGTCCAAATTGGATGTGTTCTTTTATTCAGAATAGCACCATAGTGGTTAGGAAGGGTTGGCGAACGTAATGGCAGTCAGCCATCAATCTGCCAAATGAAAATTGAAATTATTTCACTAAGCAGAAAGCTAAGAGACAACTAACCATCATCACCGTTCAACTTAGTGTATTCATCAACAAAAAATGTTTTTTTACATTTTTCTTTTCTTTGCAATAAATATGAAACAATAATAATAATAATAATAAGAGTTCACAAGTCATTTTTATCAAACAAAACCCTCCACTTGGGTTACTTATAATGTTTCAAACCTTCAACAAAGAGGTTATTTTTATAATACAAATGATTGACAGCGCAGTCTTTAATAATGATCTTCAAGATGCTACCATATAACCTTGCAGGATGAGAATGACAAACCAAAAACATGAAACAGTATCCAGACAAAATGCACATATATAAAGATGAAAAACTTGTCAAAATCAGACTACAAGGAAAAGGGGAGGAATGATAGATTCTGAAAGATCAGGACAAAAGACAGTCCATCTTACTCATTTGAGAGATTGTCCTTTTTTTACTGCATTTTATTTTATTCATGAATGCAGAAAAGTAACTGTATGGCAAAAATATGTATAATATATAAAATGTATATCATTTAAATGAAACCTGTGTAAACACTCCAAAACAAAGTCCTCTATAAGATACAATCTTACATGATTCAGCCATTGGTTATAACAGCACATATAAAGTTTGTCTAAATACTTGATTAGATGCCTGTATAAACAAGGGGTTTCAACCTGAAACTTGATTGGCAACAACAAGTCTGCAGTCAATAATAAAATACATCATCAACTAACTAATAATTCCACTACTGCCACAGCACATCTTGCCAACCTTGTAGGGGTTGAGGAGAAAGGGAAGGTTGCAGTTCATTTTCTTCAACACTCTTCTATATTGTTCATCTGTGCTACAACTGCTGTTAAATAACACATCCCATGGACAATAATTCTCTTATCATTTGGCACTTGGTTGAGCAGGTATCTTAGTTTGTGAGTGCAGGGAGACGATGTCTGCACTGACATTGCCGTATGGAGACGATTTCGGTGATAGCATGGCGCAAGACTAGTTAGTGTCACTCTTCTGAAATGAGGAGAAGAATCATAAATATTTATTTCAAGTAGGCTAGAATAATAAAAAAAAAATTTTCCTAGATTTTTTTTTTTATTTGAAAGCAGAGTGGCTGGCATATATGACCATTTTAAAGTACTTCTTCATAGACATTTTTTTATGTTATACATTAGATCAAGTCTCAGAGAAAGCACTGGTTGAAAATTGACTATTACACACAGAACATACATATCAAAGGAACAGTCTAGCAGGAAGCAGAGGCTAATTAACAAACACACAATAACACAGAACCAGAACTCAAAAGATGCCATACATTTAGTCAAAGTATGTAAAAAAAAAAAATTAGTGAAAAGGCTTTTACTTCCATTTTTTTCCTAAAATTCACCAGGACTTTTTTTCTTGAAAATGACTTAATTACTTACTGGACAACTGTCTCAATAGAGCCTGAACATCTACCTCACCATCAGTGTCAGCGCCAACATTGACATTAAGATTGAAGGCATGTGCTACCTCCCCATCCTTATCCTGTACCTTGACCATATACCGACCACTGTCTATAGACAGGGCAGCAGGGATTTCAAATGAAAAGCTGCTGTTGTTATTTTGGCTAAATTTGAAGCGAGCCACATCTTGCAATTCCAAACCATCTTTCATCCAAATGACTGAAAAATCAGAGGAAAGCAGTAGGGCCAATGAGGAGAGGTGTTAAAGAGGGGAGAGACATTCAAAAATCTCAAACTTACCTACTCACTTCATCAGCAGTAACTAAATACACAGTGCTCTAAGATGAAAGGGAGTTGTACTCATCAAAATTATTTACTCTCCAAAAGTACTGCTACATTTTTATGTTCACTTGAGCTACATATTAAAATAATTGAAAATGTACTCTTTGTATCAATTTACAGTTATATTTAAATATCATCAACAATCTGATCGCCTATCCAACCTAATTTTGTAATATTATTTTGTTATGTTTCCTTATTAACCAAATCGACCCTACCTTTGTGTGGAGTATCAGAATGCTGCAGAGAACAAGAAAAGTGGGCTGGAAGACCTTCATCTATTTGGAGAGAGTGAGGAAGAATGGAGAAAACTGGGCCTGCATGCTCTTGAACAGGCTCTGAAACACAAAACACAGCATGCGCAAACAAAGAAAGCAACCAAATAAGCACATCAAAGCTACAGCAAAGAGATGGGACCTTTGAGTGTTAAAGCTTTGGCATGTCACAGGTAGAGACAATAACTCCAAGACAGGTTTTTAAAGAAGAATATTGACTTTTTTTGGTTGAACAATACACTCCATGCAGTATAAACAACAATATACTTATTACACTCTGTAGACATGTCCTAAGGTAAAAGGTTATTCTACATGAGTACCATATGAAACTTCAAATCTGATGACAAATATAAATTGGTTCACACTATACTGCTGCAAGTCAATAATGCTCAACCACTCTGCTTCACAATCAACTTTCTGTGAAGAATCCAAAAGGCCCTGCATAAACTAAAAATATATTAGATATTGTTTTCAAATAATGTTTTATGTAATATTTGAAATCCAATACAATTACATGTATTTCCAAGGAAAAAACAACTTATCCCATTGTATACAGATGGAAGAATGCTCATGTGCCCAGAACTTTCCACCAAGTGAACGAAACCTTAAATTCTTGTCATAAAGCACTTTACCTTTTACCCTTAATGAACATGTTGTTGACACCATTCCTGCATCATTTTTGGCTTCACAACTATAATTTCCACCATCCTCTGGGAAGCATTCTGCTATCTTTAATCTGTACGAGTCACCAATGGATACATATTTAAAATCATCTGTTTCTCTTATAACTTTGCCGTTGTGCTTCCATGTTATTTCCAGGGAAGAGCCTACAATGCAGAGAATAGCAAAATAAAATCCCCTCACACTTTTTTTAATGATAAGCAGATTGGCGGGCATTTCTTCATAAGACAAGCTTAAATAAAGGAGTTTGTGTGTCTCTGTAAATTGTCAAAAATCATATAATTATTTTATAATCTTTATAAATGTTCCCATATATCACACCTGAAATCATAACAAACTATCACAGAAGTGCTTTTCTTCTCTACACTTCAAAAACTTGATCTCTTACCTGAAATTCTACATTCTAGTGAGACTGGATCTCCATCCTTAACTGTCATGGGTTTCAGCTCTTCTAAAATGTTAGGTGCACCTCCACTACTCCTGCTGCTGCTAGACACTTCATAGCTAGAGTCTGGCTTAGATCTCCCTGAGAAAAAATATAGCAGTTTTAGGATAAAACATACAACTGCCCTGACCTAACTCATTATTGCATTCAATCATAATAATTCTTTTTAAATCAACTTGTTATCTTGTATCCATCATACTATGCCAAATAGGATGTAATTTAGATACACTGATACTTACACTAGCACTGCGGCACCATATCTCACATTTTCATAACAAAAAATGGTTGCAATTGTAATACAATTGTACATTTTATCTTGCCAGTGAAACTAGTTTCTTTTCTATTTCTACTACAACAAGCAGTTTTAAATGAATAACTTAAATCAACTTACTACTAGATCTGCCGGTTGTACTATCTGAAGAGGAAGAGTAGCTTTCAGAATGGACAGTTCGAGATGTTTTTATTCTTGAAGAACCAAAATCCTTGACATCTTCAGTGTGAGTGCTGTATTTTGATGTCCTGGAGTAGCTGTCAGAGCCAAACTTGTCCTCGCTGTGGAAACGACCCAACCTGGAGGAGGATGGCTTAGTGATGCCACTACTATAGCCTGAGAAAGAGGATCTCTTTGGTTTGTAAGTTGGGCGTTCTGGAAACAATACAAATATTAATCATTATCTATACATAAAACAGAAATTGAGGTGATTCAAATATATTTTTACATTATTATTGGTTATCTTCTATATAAAGACTATCATGGCATGCTATGGATTTTTATCTCTGATTTCACTCTCTGAATGTTATAGAAATTTATTTCAAAACTTGAATTTATTTCCAATATCTATCTTGGATCCTTTTATTTTATTGGAATAAGTCCATGTCTTGGTTTGCAAAAATAAGATGTGAAGAAAAAATGAATCATAATACCCACCAGCCACTGTAACTTTACAAGAGGATTCCTGGATGCCCTTTGAATTCTCTGCTCTGATGGAGAAAGTGCCAGTGTCTGATACTTTGGTTGAGGATATTTGCAACTCACAGACGCCAGATTTGTATGAGATGTCATAGTGAGAATCACTGAAGATTTCACGCCCATCTTTGAACCATTGAACCTAAATTTAAGTAAGGGTGTACATATACAATGGAACTCCTTTGTAGGAGAATCAGGACACCCCTAATATCTATCTTATCTAAAATTATCCAATGCACCAAAGTGGTGAAATATTATGAATTCAAAAGAAGAGTTGTAGATCCTTCGTTAAAAAAACATTGCATTTTCGAAAGCCTTTGAACTTAATCTAATTTCAACATAAGACATAAATTGTGTAACCAGTTACTTTTGGTTTACAAATGGGTGTATTACTTTGGAAAAAACTGAATCAATACAAAGAGAGGCAAAAAACAACCTATATACTTACTGTAGGTGTTGGAGTAGCCTCTACACAACAAATGAGTTTAAACTCATTGCCTTCAATGATATACCTGGGACGCAGCTGGAACACAAAGTCTGGGGATTTGTCCGGAGGGGCCTCAAATTCTTTAACCTTAAATTCACGCTTTTTCCTGAAATGTGTGTGCAAATATATTTCTCTTAATCAAGACAGCACAATAGAAGATAAACAGATATTTAGATTTAGGTACAACTGCAATTCATGGAACAACATATGTTGTTTGTGCTGAAGTTTTCAAATTTTATCTTTTACTGGTAAACTCAACCATTTTTTTTACATAATGTCCCCATAGTCTAATTCAAATTCTGACAATACAAGTTTGTTTACCATGTGGCTGATTCTCTGGATCCTACTTCTGGGAGTGTCCTGCTGATAGCTGATAAAAAGAAAGCATTAAGGTATATATGTTTTGAAATTTATCAAATTAATTTTAGTTGAGATAAAGGGCATGAAGAGAAAATCTTGTTAAATAATATTGGTTGCAAATCTGAGCTTCATCTTAATTAACTCATCACGCACATTAAAAGGGAATATAACATCTTAGGGGGCATAACATCTTACATATATATATATTACACATTAGATAAAAACTATAGACCGTCTGAGTTTACCTTCCACGCTAAGCTTGGCAGATGCATCTTTAGAACCATATGAGTTGACTGCCTTCACTGTGTAAGAGCCTTTGTCTTCATCCTTGCACCTACTGACCTTCAGTGCATAGTGATGACCAGAGTATTTCTGCATGTACTTAACACTCTGTGATAGCATACTGCCTTCAAAGTACCTAGGAAAGACATTCATTTTATCAATTTAATGTTTAAGAAAATTTATCTCAATCTAAATGCTGATTGGAGTTTTGTGAAACACCTCTAAAGATCAAATTTTGCCCTTTTACTCACCATGAGATGGTAGGCTCCGAAGCAGCGATGACATTACAGTCAAACTGTGCTGACTGGCCTTCAATTGCTAGCTGGTCTCTAGGCTTGCGGATAAAGCGTGGAGCAGCCTCACGACGATCTGAAAGTTGATGTGAAAAGATACAGCACTATTATAATAACCTATTTCTCATACCGTGAAGGCTTGAAATATGTTCACATTTCACCTAGAATCTCAAGCAAAAACAGGCTAGCTTCTTTGTACACTACATTAGCATACCTTTTCATTTAAAAGAAACTGGATAAAATTGCAAAAAATTAGAGGTAGTGATGCTTGTGCTTCCAACCTTTTGTTTCTTTAATACATTTGCTCTTGAAATAATTTTAAATTAGTACTTGGTGATTAAAAATGCATTTATAAGTGTCCTTCAAACTATAATTCAGATATGTAAAAAAAATTGGTATTAAAATGATGGAATTATATAAATCAAAATGCTTTATTTTGGTTAGAAAGTAAAAGTAAGCTTGAAGAAAGAATTATTCAAATTGAAACCCATCACAATTCTTGGTCTGCATCTGATTCACTTGCCACAACATATAACAAATACTTACCAAAAGATGTCTCATAGATCTGGTACTGTTTACCTCTGTTTTTCATCACAGAGCTGAAGTTAGCAATACGCCCAATAGCAGGCCTAGGCGCTGGCCAGTCACCCTGCAAAGAACATTGCAATACATGCAATATGGACACCCATACTTACAGTCTGACTTTTCAGACAACCAATTCATTTTAACTTAATTTTTTTTTACTTAACTAACTGATAACTATAACTGATATCCATTTGAGGTATTTGTTGTAACCATCCCAACTCTAAGATTCATATAGCAGTTTACTCACATATTTAGCATGGAGTTTCTTCCTGAAGGCATCATAACGTGTACTTGATATTCTGTGTGTGAGATCAGAATGGTCACCCTGAAAGAAAGTAAAACATTTACAGTTAAGCACTTATTTTTTCATATTTCATAACGCATTAACATGAATGTATGAGCATCAAGTCTTGAAAACTTTTGTGCAAATCTGTAAATATACATGAAGAAGAAATTACATGTTATCTATCCTTTTTCCTGTTTATAAAATCAAACATGAACCATTCAATCTATTTTAGACTTACATTAATCCATGGATGGTCCAAAGCATCATGGACAGTCATACGATGCCTGAAACAGCAGCAAAAATACAGCTCAAATAACATCATGAATAAATTATTCATATTCAATACACCTGATACAAATATTGCAATTTGTACTTCAAGATGTAAAAAACTCTTCTGCAATAATATATACATTTGTTAAAAAAATTACTAACACACTGTATATAAATAACACTGCCTGGTGGAATTTAAATCATTAATACTTCATACAATTATATGACAGGAAAAACAATGATAAACTTATAATTACGTTGGGTTTCTGAGGAGCAGCTTCTTGATGAAATCTTTTCCTTCAGCTGAGACAGTCTTGAAGGCATCCTCATCAAATTCCCAGTCACATTTAGCCACATTCTGTAGTGTCTCGAGATCATCATCACCAGCAAATGGTGACAGACCACTCAACCTGAAAACATAACAAGTATGTTGTATGTCAAAGTTACACTGGTAAAAATAAGTCACATTTAGTGACTATATTTAATGAAAAGACTAATAAGAGTTGTTTGTGATCATTTGCTTGTGCAAGAAAGTATGTGTGCACACATTTCAGTTTTCTTCTTGTAAATGAGCTGGTAATGCAGTGATAGCATGTGTAAAAATATAAAAACTAAATCTTTCAGCTTAATTGTAATCTGTCATAAATGGTTTTCATTTTTCTCAAAAAGCTCATAACTTCTGGCATCTAAGACCTCATCAAAACCACATATTTCTGACATAAAAGGTCAAAGATCATGTAGTGTTGATGGTACTTACAATACATATGCTAGCACACCCACAGACCACATGTCAGTGTAAAAGCCCACGGGTTCTCTCTCTGCAATTTCAGGGGCAGCAAACTCAGCAGTTGCTGTGGTAACCTTGACAACCTCTTGTGGATTAAGTTTAGTTGCCAGGCCAAAGTCAATCAATTTGACATCAGTGCTCTTTTTGGTGGCACACATCACATTCTCTGGCTGATGTAAAATGAGGATTAAACTATGAATTACTATTTTATGTATGTTGAAGGAACAAATATTATTAATTCTATTCAAATAACGCTGCAACATTTTACATTATTTTTTTAATACACAAAATACCTTTAAGAACTGAATACATTATTCTATTCAAACAAACAAATAAAAACTAAAATATTCCCTTTATCAAAATAAAAACTAAAGCTTAGTCCTTTTAAATTTATCACAATGCTCTAGTATTAGCTCAATCACTAAAATATTATACATCGCTATAGGTAGCACCCGTTAAACAAGATATATTTTTCCTTTTTGCCTTTGGGGACCTGTGTCCTAATCATTTGACATACATTGATGGCACGACTTAGTTCAGCTTCTTCAAGTGCCAACTCACCTTGATATCTAGATGCACAATGTTCTTCTCATGCATGTGTTTGACTCCTGTTAACACTTGTCTCATGTAGTTGATCACTTCTGCTTCAGACATCTTGTAGTCTTCAGCAGCTACTCTGTCAAACAGCTCACCACCAGCAAGGCTGCAATGGGAAAATAGAGCACATAAATTACAGCAAAGTTATAAATACATGATATGCAAAGGAATAGACTTAATTTATTAATGTTAGTTAAAGAACAAGAAACTATATTTCAGAGCAAAACTTCTGATCAATTTAGAAATATGTGGACAAGAAATAATCTTTCTAAAACACTTACTAATTCTACCACGGGGTACACAACACTAACTTTCTCTTTAAAAACACCAAGCATATCTAATCCTCCGACAGAAACTTACAACTCCATGATCAGCACCATTTCCTTCTGGTCCTCAAAAGCATCATGAAGGTTGATTAACTTAGGATGCTGGAGGTTATTCATGATGGCTATCTCATTTCTGACAACCTGTTTGTCCAGTGGATATGGGGTGTGGATGAATTTGGCCACAAATGTGTTTCCTGTGGCCTTCTCTCGGCAACGATGGACAACACCAAAAGCTCCACTGTAAATATATCAACTCATTAGATTAATTTGAATATACCATATTTTAGATATGGATCGCAATATTATTATATAAAAATTTGCTGAGTTTTTTTGTTGTATCCTATTATTGAATATCAAAACAAATTCATAAATGAAGCCCAAATTCAAAATCCCTCACTAAAATTATCAAGCATAGAGGAAAGTTTTAATCTGTAAGGTCAACTTAACATACAATTTATCTCTTCATATTGAATAGATAAAGTTCTTCCACACTTATTGTAATCATCCTACCTGCCCAGCTCCTCAAGGATATCATAGTAGTCATACACACTGCCGGTCTTGATGTCTACTGGTTTGGGGATATGCTTGGCCCAGATATCAGTGTCTAAAACAGAGCAGTTGTTTTCAGAAAAGTTGATATTTTCATTCACTGGTTCTTAGTTTATACTCTAGAAATAATATGATGTTGTGAAAAATATGAAAATACATCATGAAATGAATTGCAAAGCTTGCTGTGAACGTGTAAAATCCTTCTGAAGCACTAAATCATTTTAATAATAATTGTAAAAAAACAATAAAAACATTGATGTGTTTTAAGATATACATATTCTGTTCAAGACACAAATTCTACTTACAGAACTTATCGTAGTTGTCAATTGGTGGACCATCATAATGTCCTCTCTTCTTCTTGAAGAATTCATCTGAAAACAAAAATATGATATGTTTACCTGATCAAACTATTTTATAAGTCCTCCATGTATATCTTATACCTAAATTATAAACAAAATGCTATTTAGTACTTGAAAAGATGTGACACATATAAAGATATATCCAAATTCCCCCCTTTAAACACATTTCTGACTTAAATACCCATTAAAAAAAACATTTCTCACCTTCTGGGCTGAGTTTCTTCACCTTCTCAATGGCAGCCTTCTCTGTAGGCTCACTAGGTGGACTTCGTCCATAGAAGTTCTCAGCAATCACACGGAACTGGTATTCTTTGTCTGGGCTCAAGTTCTCTACTGTATATGTGTTGAACCTGAAACGAATAGCAACTATAACATCAACATTCTATAATTTTACCACGAAAAAAAGAATGAAGATGACAGTAATGCCAATAATCTCTAATTTTCATGTTAAATAATCAAGTTGACTGCAATCTTTTTCTGATCTATTCACAGATACATACATCTTAAAATTTACCACAATTTCTCATTAAAATCTATTTTTTGTATAGATTTCCTAAAAAAAATCACAACATCATAACTCAAAAAAATTGTTTTGATATCTCTCATTTCAATATACTGGCAACCTGTCTTCATTTTGATATAAATATAATTCAAAGATGCATTTCTAATGGTTGTCACATACCTGCATGTACCACATCGTGTCCAAGACTCACTCGGCAACTCTCGCTTTTCAATAATGTACTGGCTGATTATACTGCCACCATTGTTGAGTGGAGCCTGCCATGATAGCAACACACTCTTGTCTGTCTGGCTGTCTACTTTAGCAAATCTGGGAGCATCAGGAGCATCTGAAAATAAACAATTGTACAGGTAACTAGTCTTATGTGCATACAAGTGTCATGACCTATCGCAACTCTTATGAGAGAAATTATGATAAAGATTTCCTATTGTAGCACCCAACTAAGAATGTGCATTGAAAAACTCACACAACATCTGCCACAAACTCACCATTAATCTGAATCTCAACCACCTTGGTATCCTGGCCAAGGTCATTCTCCAAGGTTAACCTGTAAGGTCCAGCATGCTCCTTCTGTGGATTCTTAATGGTCAAGATAGCATGTCTCTCCTTAAGTTCAATATCATAGTTCTTTCCACCCTTAATCTCTTCTGTGTCCTTTGACCACTTGTCTGTGGGTCTTGGGAAGCCAGTGAAGGGCAGTTTGATGACTATAGTCTCTCCTTTCTCAAATGCTGATGGCTGCTGGAATCTTGGAGGGACTTTAATCCTTGGTGCAGCTGAAATAGAGCAAAACAAGTTAAATGTGTTATTTTTATTTAACAAATCTTTTGCAGTGCCCTGAGGCACAGAGTGCTGTCAGTATCTTACCTTTACCATGTATACACCTACCAGGGCTACAGATTAATCATGTGAACTTTTCTCCAACACAAGTGGAGAAAAGTGCCAGGAATTAGCTAGAGACATATATGTGAATATCAAGTGAAAAATTCAATCTTCGCAGGGACAAGTATATGTCTTCTTTCAACAGAAAAGAAAAAGCTCAGGTATGCTGCTAACAGAGGTGAGGTACCTGTAGACTCTGAAGCTCAGGGTGATTGAACATCCACAACAAGATAAACCTTTTATACCTTTATGAATTATTTTACCTGTTTTGTTACCAGCAAATATTTTTAAATAAATAATCAAAATAATATGATATTTAATGCACAAAACTTCCTAAAATTCTCATACTTAAGTTAGTAACAGTTGACATTAAGTCACCTACATTTAATCAAGAGATCTGCCCTGCTCTGTCTGGAGCCTCCTCTGTTGGTTGCTTTAACAGTATACTCATCAGCATCCTCACCAAACACATCCTTCACGGCCAAGTAGTAGGTATCACCATCATTGTAAATTTCATATTTGGGACTGTCGAAAAGTTCACGGGTACCCTTGAACCTAAGCAATGGAAACAAAAATTGGTTAACACTTTGAAACTGACCAAATGGAATACATAACACAATAATACATAACTTCATGCATTTAATGTCATAATTTTCCAATATTGTTTGTTGAAAATGTTAGTTAGCCTGAGTTGTTCATTATTATTGTAACTCACCATGTCACCTCAGGCTTAGGTGAGCCAGTGATAGTACACTGGAACTCTGCCGTTTTGCCCTCAGTGGCTTGGACTGTTCTCAAAGGTGACGTGAATTCTGGGATTACAGCAGCTAGACAAAAACAATAGGCACATTAATACTCTTGGTTAAAACTTTTTTCCTCAGATCGAAAAACATTACATGTCTTCAAAAATCAAATGAATACTATTATTTACATCAAAATCAAACTTAACTATAAGTATACTATGAAATTAATGGTTAATCCTGTAAACCTTGCCAAGTTTCGCAAAGTTGTAAATAGGTCCTTTGAAGATGGTAAACTAGGACATATTAATAAAACCAAAAACTTACCTAAAGGATCCTTCACCTTGACCTTCCTAGAGGCCATGGACGGCTTACTTTCGCCAGCTTCATTGACAGCAGTGACACGGAACTCGTACTCGCGATCCTCAATCAGATTGGGGACGTTCCAAATGTTGGTGATGCATGGATTGGTTGGATTGGCTCTCAACCATGCATCTCCACCAGCCTCACGCTTGTCAATGAAGTAGCCCAGGATTTTACCGCCTCCGTCAGAAGCTGGTTTGTCCCAAGACAGGCTGACGAAGTCACCACCCACTTCTGTAACTTCAGGGACACCAGGTGCATCTGGGGGATCTAGTGGGAGAGAAATCATTGCAATGTATAAATAGAATGAACCATATGAAAATAAGTCTTAGTGGTAGTCATAATATAGGAAAATGGTTATGAGGTCTCCTTTACCTCTCAAAGAGATCAATATTTGAGAGGGTTCCTTACCACTCATAGTCTTTTAGCAACCAAATTAAGTTTTACTGCAAATCAGAAGTGTAAGGCTTACCAAATGGCATCTTGGCTGTGATGGGGTTTGGTGCCTCCAGGAATTCACCAGTACCATTCTCATTAGCTGCAGCAACGCGGAACAAATACTGGTTATTCTCAATCAGACCTTGTACATCAAATTCAGTTCCCTACAAAATTAAATGTGCTGGCCTAAGTAAAGAATTTTACATTGGCTACATATCTTTCAGAGTTGTTGTATTATAACAGCTTCTCTAAGTTACCTGAGATGCAAACCACACATAATCTTAGTATGGACAGAGGCCCATGGTACATCAATGTGAACTCCAATCAAATTCTTTTTAAAACACATTATTCATCATAAATGTTAAACACTGTTTAAAAAATCTAACTGGGTTAACAAAAATAAATATTCACATAAATTGGCTCATACTCCATCAATTTGCGATTAGCAAAAAAATGCAAAAAAAAATTATTCAAATCATTTCATAGATAAGATGATGTTATATATAGTTAGGCAAATATGTAGAGCCTGTCAGAAATCAGAAACAAGTCCATAGCACTGCTAGCTGGTGGCACAAAATTAAATACTTTCAGGTAACTGAACAGGCAGTGTTTCTAAAGTCATAATTTTACCTTGACAAAGGAACCCACAGTGGTCCAGTAAGGTTTGGAGATATCTTTCCTTTCTACCACATAGTGGGTCACTCTGCTGCCACCATCATCTTTGGGGGGTTTCCAGGACAAGTGGCAGGCATTCTTGGTGATGTCTGAGACATTAAGGGGCGCAGTTGGTTTACCAGGTGTTGCTAGGAGAAAAGAAAAGAATGTTTCAATCAATCAATCATATTAGTCAATCAATTTGACTGAACAAGAGCTGATAATATGAAATACGTTCACAACATAATTTGACCCTCTTGATACTTGAAAAAATGGAATGTTTTAAAAGTAAAAAAATCCATTTTAATACATTTCACTTTGCATACTTGTCAAGCTTGAAATCAAAATGTACATGCAGTCAGAATGAATGCTGTTTGTGAAATAAGAAACATTTTAAATTAAAAAAAATAAAATAACATATCATAATGTATACTTCTATCAATTATAAAATAACTTTTCTGCTTTGCTCACCTTTCACCTTCAGATTAAATGGCACAGTGCAAGTTCCACTGGCATTAGAGATATCCAGCTTGTACGGACCAGTGTCATCAGTGTCTACATCTGGAAAAGGCAATTTTACATTAAAAATTACCTATAAGTAAGAAAAAAATAATACCATTTGAATATATTTCATGTTTCACAATATGAAAGAAAAATAACATTTCTTTATTTTCTATAATTTACCTAGTCTCACTGTGGTTTTAAAGACTATTACCAATTATGAAAGCAAACAATATGATAAAAGAAAAGAAAATAAAAAGTAAAAAATTACTAAGTATCTATTTCTTTGTTCCAGGTGTCAGATGAAGGTATACATGATTAACAAGCAACCAATACCTTTGAGTTGGACAACAATGTAGTCATCAAATGGTGTGATCTTCAGTCTGTCACCCTCAGTCAGAGGCTGATTGCCCTTCTTCAGTTTCACATCAAAAGGACCTTTGCCTGAGATGGGGATCTTCAGCTTCAGTGTGTCACCCTTGTCAACACTCTGGTCACCAGGCATTTTGTCACACTTGGGTGGGGCTGTGATGAAAAATATCACAGTATTTAAGTTGTTTAAACTTCAGCTGATGTTCAAATTAAATACATATATATATATATATATATATATATATATATATATATATATATATATATATATGTTGTAAAAGCTGATTTCAATATCATTTAATTGATAAGTTGTACTTTCAGGTTCAGCAGGTCAAGATATATTAATCAAGCAAGCTAGATTAATGAAGGCACTAAGGTAAATAAATAAAACACATAGATGGCATTGAAAGAGGAACACGATGTTTCTGTATAATGAATTAGTACTCTTACCAATTACTTCCAGAGGAGCAGAGCAGGTGTCTTTGCCCAGTTTGTTACTGAGAGTACAGGTTATCTCTCCTGCATCGCTGGGTTCTACATCTGTGATGGTGAGAGAGATGTTACCATCATCATCCTCAGCAACACGGTTCTTAGCACCAGGGCGGATTGGAATGCCATTTCTGAACCTGAATTCAATTTCAATACAAACAGTGTTTTATGGTTCTCCCAGATTACAGAACTTGCAAATTGAATTCAACGAATGTGATATTATGTGATTCGATCATAGCTTTATTCTATCATGTAAATTTAAATAAAAAATTAAAGGAAGTCTAATTATTTTGTCAATTTTTTAAAATGCCTGAATGAAGTGGTGTTGACAACTTTTACTTGCAAAATAGAAATATGATCAATTATGTTTGTCAAAGTTGCTTTTTAAAGTAGGAGCAATGAAAATGAAACCTGATAATCAACAGAACAGAACATTCCATGTCATCAAAGAACCACGGGACAAAAGTACTTACCATTGCACTTCTACAGCTGGTTTGCCAACTATCTCAGCCACAAACTTGGCTTCTCCTCCCACAGGTGCTTCCACCTTGCTGATTTTCTTTACAAACTCTGGCTTTATACCAACTGAAACAGACAATATTATTGGAATGGAATGATACTTCAAAATGTGCTCCTTTTCATCAGCCATATGTAAGTTTAACATTAATATTAATAAACAAAATCTAAAAAATCATCTGATCATCATCCTCTTGATTTACAAAATGAATTAAATATATAAATAAAACACAGTGCTGTAGAAACTGCAACTAAGATTTGTGAACAATGAGATGTTTTTGCAAATACATCCTATTCCATTTCTCCTTACCAACTTTCTCCTTGACCTTGGTAGGTTCAGTAGGCACACTGGGTTCTCCCTCGCCAGCCTGGTTGACAGCTGCCACCCTAAACTCATATTCTGAGTTCTCAGGCAAGTCAGGCACAGTGTATCTGGTATCTACACATGGGTAGTCATTCACCTTCTCCCAGTCACCCTCAGGGTAAGCTCTCTTATATACAGTGTAGCCTGAAAATTTCCAAATAAAACACATCAGCTTTTTGTCAATAAAAAATGAAACAAAGGTGTAATTCTGACCTGCAGCCTAGATGAATTAACAGCCTAAGAGGTAATAATCCTAAACATGTTAAGCATTAGAAATAGAATGAGTAGCCATCAAAAATTAAATGTCTAGAACCAATTTCTAAATATGACAAAATTTACTTAATTTTTCTCTTTCATCATACAATCCAAATGAGATACTGAAAAAATGTAGGCTGAATACACCAAAAGATCTTGTAGGTGGGTGGTTATAAACATGTTTGTGCTATCAAGTTGGATTGAGATATAGAATTTTGATTGGCATCATGCTAATGATTGATCATGGGGGCAAAATAGGCTCAAATAGAATAGTTCAGATGAAGAGGTAATACTTGTTTGAAGTTCTCCTTAAATGCTGTATCAGTACAGCCACACTCACACTCTCTGAGCGAATGTCAATTTGATCTATCATAATGCTCACAGCACCTAGGATTAGATTTTGATTGATCTAGAATTGAGACATAAAGAGGTATATCTTTGGGCACATTTTTGGGGTAAAATCTGCATCTGGTATTATAATGTAGTAATCATAGATCGAGGCTGTTTGGGGTTTTTAAGGGGTAAGTCTGTAAAGAGTCAAAACTTTTTGGTGCAAACTAAATTTAAAGTAAAGATGACACAGATTGTCTGTCTGGGATCAAAATTGTGGGGAAGGATAATGGCACACTGTATAGAAGGTCCATATGGGTTTAAAGTAATTTCTATTTACCAAGAATTAAAGTAGTCATTTTCATAGAAAATCCTACAAGAGATAACGTGAAATATGCATACAAAACAACTTCAGTAATATATAAATAAATAAGATCAACTTGACATGTTTCTGGTCAAGAGAACTTTATGGCTGTTTATACTCTACATTTAGAGCATTATTGTATTGTATTTTGTATTCAAACAATGGTAAACATGTGTAAAAAATGTGTACAAAACATTCCAACATTTGATATAACATTTTCCTTTAAAATTTCTCCTTATAAATACATACCCTTAATCTTAGCTCCTCCGTCATGCTTTGGTTTTTCCCAGGAGAGTTCCACAAAGGTTCTGCCTACATCTTCTACCTTGGGGGCACCAGGAGCACCTGGTTTCTCTGAAATAATGGAAGATTCACAATTGATACTGTACCTTCATCAATTAGCTTATAACGGAAAGCACAATAACTACATCTGTATTCAGTGATCAAACATTTTGACTGGGCAAATATCACAAAGAATGATTCTCATACATTTGGTGCCAACAGCTATGTAAGACAAGATGATGATACTTGTGACATTTCATCATCTTGGTATAAAAAGTTTTACAAGTATAAACTGATACTATAATTGTTAAAATGTATGCTTTGTTTCTATGAGGACATTAAATTTTGATTTAAAAATATTTATTTCCTCCCAAAAATAATTCATTGGTTTGTATTTTTTGTACATTTAAATCCTAGAATATAACTACTTACGGCATTTAGGTTTGGTGGTAACAAAGCCAGAGGTATCACTAGGCTCGCTGAGACCAGCCTTGTTCTTGGCTTTCACTCTGAAGTCAAACTCTTTGTCCTTAGGCAGACCAGTCACTGAAACAAGTTACATATAAGCAATCAACAGGAAGAAGGAAATGTTTAAATAACAATGTGACTTGCAATTCAACTTTAGTCCTGCATTTTTTTCAACAATTCTTAATTTCACACACACATTAAAAATGTTAAAAAATAGATACACTTAAATACAACTAAATCATCTCAAAGGTAAAATGTGACTACTTATGTGTAATATAATAACATTGTTCACTTCACAAAATAAACTTTGAAGGATTTCTCAGCATACCAGTGTGTGTAAGATCCTTGACAGGGAAGTCAGTGACAGGTTTCCACTTGCCACCTTTTTCCTTGGCCTCAATAATGTAGCCCTGGATCTTGTCACCACCATCATCACGTGGGCGAGTCCAGCTGAGTGTCACACGGTCTGCATCCACATCATCCACTTTGGGACGACCTGGGGCATCTGGGACAGCTGCAACAACAGATAAGATCATTTTCATTTCTGACTAAATGAGACACATAAGAAAATAGCAGAAATGAAATATATAGATATAGATAAGAAGAGAAAATTGCTTTAATCCTTAATGCAAAACTGCCATTGTATGAGCTTCAGTGCATTTTTTGTTACATTGCTTAACTTAAATTACTGAATTACAACAAAACAGCAAAAATAAACTCACTGTACTGATGTTGAGCAATTATAGGCTTGGTTGTTTCTAGAGGAACGCTAACTCCATATTCGTTCTCGGCACTGACTCGGAACATGTACTCATGCCCCTCCTCCAGGCCCATGACCTCGTGTTCTGTGCCACGGACAAACTTGCTGACTTTCTTCCAATCAGGAGACTTGGAGTCCTTCTTCTCCACAATGTAGTTGGTGATGGGACTGCCACCATCATCCTGAAATACAGATGTTTGCTTTTAAACAACTGGTATAAAATTAAAATGAATTTCCTGTGAATTGTGGTAACAGAAATAGATGACATATAATATTTAGAATAAATCATGAAATATGGCTTATCTAAAATTCAGCCACTCTCTTTGACTGCTCTTATATTTCAAACCAATTCTTTTAATGAATTCAATATTTTCCTTCACTACACTAATCTAAGAAAATATGCAGAAAAATGTAAATACTGGGGATGCAGTTTGCACTTACTTTGGGAGGATTCCACTTGAGAACACATGTCTCAGGGGTGATATCAGAGACCTCTAGTGGACCTTCTGGTGCACCAGGTGGAGCTGAAAGTTAACCAGTTCAGCTATCAGTAAAAAAAATATACAACTTATACAAGTTTAATTATTTCCTCTTCATCTAATATTTCTAATAAATATATTGTGTATTTACTGAAAACCACCAAGGTTCACCTTCACCTTAATAGAAATCTATCAACAGTCTGTGAAGCAATAACAAAGCAAAAATTCCAGCTTTCTGCATGGTTGTCAGCAGCTTGTAGATAGATACATAGTTCTCAAACAAAAGCTAACAAAGTTACTAGTAATTTAATTATATTAAGATGCTACTCACAGACAACTGTAACATTGCATGAAGCAGTGTCGCTGCCCATTTCATTAGTGAGAGTAATGTTGAATCTAGCATTATCAATCTTCTCTGCCTCTTTACATTCCAGGATAATTCTATCTGGCTCTTTCACAAAGTTCCATCTATCCCCTGGGATTATCTTATTGCCACCCTGCAAATAAAGATAGAAATAAATAAAAATTAAAAAGTAATATAGCAACATGCTGACTAAAATATCAGTGTTCCTGTTCAAGATATTTAGTTTCAATACCTATAACTTGTAAACACTATGAAATATTTCATAATTTGGTAGTTTGAGAAAACCTGTATTACAATTGAAGTCTTTCAACTGGTACAAAGATGACATGGAAGATATTCAAAGGATAAACTGGCTAATTCCAACAAAAACAAAGAGACTTTTATCATTTCAAAATATTCAGAAACTACCACAGTGAACATTTATAATATGAAATGAACATAACAGATTTAAATTACCGCGGTGACAGTTGGGGTTGGAATAGGAGAGCCCCCAGTAAATGGAATGACTATTTTGAAGGGCTCTCCAAGCTTAGCTTTCACGTCTTTGGCCATGCTGTTCAGGTCAATCTTAGGGGCCACTGAAAGGAGACAAAGAGTACTGATTGAAGAACATTATCATTTAGAGATGAAAATAGTGGTACTATTACAAAAATAAATTCTTTAAAAATATCAGTGATTCAGTCACAACTCACCAGGTGGTGGTCTAGCCTCAATGGCCTCTGCTGTCTCAGTCCAGGGTGATGGACCTGCCTTGTTAACAGCGCAAACCCTGAACTCATACTTCTTTCCATTGGTCAGACCACGCACTGTCATGGAGGTGTCTGGAGATTCGTTTATGTTGCACCTGGAAATATTGTGATTTTTAGATAACTAAAAAGATTGCTACACAAGCATATTGATGACTGTTCTTCTGTGATGATATGGAGGTCTACATAATTGTAGGATCATTTTTAAAATTTTGTGTAAAAACTCAAAACTGCAGCATCTACAGGGACTGTACCCTTAGGATGAGAAGTTTTTAAAATTACAGATCAACACAGAAAGATTTCTATCTTACTTAACTATGAGAAGTTTTCCTCAGCAATAACATTATAATTTTTGGTAACCACAAAATGCAGCATTTATCCATTATATAAAAATATTTCTTTATATCAAAATAACATTGAAAAGTAACTTACTTCACCCATTTATCACTATCAGGTTCCTTTCTTTCTACAAAGTATCCTTTGACAGGGTTGCCGCCATCATTTCTAGGTGGAGACCAGGACAGAGAGATGGAGTCCTCAGTGGTACCAGTGCATTTGGGGGTACCAGGGGCATCTGGGCGATCTACAAAGTAAGGATGAAGGGGTAAATACAAAGAAAATAAAGAAAACAGAAGAGGGTATACAGAAAACAAACAACCAAACTTGGGGGTGAACATTTTTGCAAAAAAAAAAAGAAGTAAATTTGAAGAACATAGAAAAACCCAACTAAGTAATGCAAATAAAAAAGATTACTTTATAAACTAGAGGCTGAACATTTAAGCAAACATAAAAAAAAATTAGAAAAAAGTATGAATCATGTATCTTATTAAAAACAATATACAAAATTGACAAAAGTAATTGTGCACGATCAACATAACCAAGACTTAATTATGGAATTGAAAGGTTGTAAAGATAGCAGAATATACAAAACAAAATGAACAAAATTAAATTTTGCCCCTTACTGAATGGGAACTTGGGTGTAATTCCACCTTCATCTGTCAAGAGTGGCTCACTGAGACCCATTTCATTTTCTGCCATTACACGGAACTCATAGGGCACACCAGTCTCCAAGTTCTTAACTGGCCAGCTAGTGGCTGAATTGGGGACAGAGCTAGCCACCTTGGTCCATTTGTCCGACCCAACTGGACGCTTTTCAATGACATAGTTTGTGATAGGTTTGCCACCATCATCCAGTGGGGGCTTCCAGTTAAGGTCCAAGGAGTCTGCCTGGATGTTACTTCCTGTCAGTGGTCCCTCTGGTTTGCCTGGTGTATCTACAAAGACAAATTGGTGATATTGGTGTTGTCTAAAAAAAGATAATAACCACAGAATGACATTTGGTTCCAGGCTTGCTGTTATCCCATCAAACAGTTCATGCAACATATTAAATTTTACAACAATCAAGTGCATCTGAAAAGTATGGTGACATGTGTATGATCAATATCAGTAATATGACATGAAAAAAAAAACAAAAAAACATATCTTTGAAATTTAAGTACCTGTCTCAGAATGATATTTCAAATACAAATATAGCATAGAGGAGCTAAGTTTTAAGTTTAAAATTTTTCTTGAATCAATCCATCCATCTATACCTACCTAGTACAATCACTCTGACACTGCCAGTGTCTGAGCCAGATGGATTCTTCAAGGTACACTTGTACAATCCTGTGTCTTCACGTTTGGCTTTGCCGATCTCAAATACTGCATCAGTATCAGACACCTAAAGAAAATATAAAAAGATCTAAGAATTGAGTATGTCTATTCCACTTCAAAATTCTTAGAATATTATAGACGTTTGAAAAAAAAGATAATCATTACTTGATTCATTTTATACGGTATTGTCCAAATGCCAATTTCATATTTCAGCATGTAAACATTTTTTACAGATGCTTTACACAAGAAAGGTAATACAGTAATCACAGCAAGCCAGTTTTCCCTTGTACATGATTATTTGATTACATTTTAAAAGGTACCTTGGCGTATACTCTGCTGTCGTCTTGATCGACTTCCTGATCATTGTGCACCCAAGTGGCCACAGGTTTGGGGAAGCCAGTGAAGGGGAAGTCCAGCTTGAATGGTTGTCCAGCTTTTACTGTCACATCCTTGATACCACTCATGTCTATGGTAGGCTTTTCTGCACAAGGAAAGGGGAAAATTTATGATAAAGAAAAAATTGAAAAGATTTTTGAAGTAAGAATATCATCTGAATAGTGTTATAATTACAATAGGCTTCAAGAAGGTAGCTTGCAATGTATTTTTTTATGCATACTGCATTTCTCTTTGAAAATGACCATGCTTAGTAATGACTTAAAATAATTACAAATTCCAATTAAAATAAAACCAATTAAGTATAACAAAACTGAAAGTAATTTTTTTAAAACATAAGGTATATGTTTGATGAACATTCTTTAATTCACTTTAACTCATGGTAGAAAGCTAAGCACAAGCAGAATAAATATACATATGGAAATCCTACCAAATCTTTAAAAGATCCATTTACACACACACACACACACACACACACACACCACCTACACCACCTACCTGGTTGGTGTTCAGCCTTGATAACAGATGTCGGCTTTGATGGTTCACCCACACCAGCCTCATTCTCAGCACGAACTCGGAACTGGTATTCCCCACCTGGTGTCAAATTGCCCACAGTCCCATTGGTTTTATCTGCAGGTACTTTGGCAGCTGGCACCCACTTGTCTTTGCCAGGTTCTTTCATTTCAATGACATAGCCAGTGATCTTCGCTCCACCATCATTTCTTGGCTTGGTCCAGGAGAGATCCACGTGGTCTGGGGTGATCTTGTCTACATTGAGAGCTCCAGGAGAGTCGGGAGCAACTGTTGACAAAATATGACTCATATATTTAAGTTTGGATTCAAATTTTTAACATAATAATAATTCAGTTACTAATAATTCAAGGTTTTTATTGAAAGAAACATTACTGTGTACATAATATTCATTGAAAAAAAATACTCACACAAAAACTAATAAAAATAGCATATATTTCTTGCAACTAAAAACAACTGGGTTATACATGACAATAAGTTTTAATGTAATACAAAAGCACCATTTCAATATCTTCGTATTAACCAAAAAATTAAAACTTACAAATCATATCTCTAGCTAGATGCCATTCTGTTGGCTTGCAGAATTCTCCAGGCCCGCCATCATTGACAGCACAGACACGGAACTGGTACTCCTGGCCAGGTGTCAGGTTCATCACAGTGTACTCTTTCTTAGGTACTGGGGTGGCATTAGCCTTCTCCCATTCTCCTCCTCTCCTCTTCTTCTCAATGATGTATCCTAATAATAGATACATGGATTAAGTGAAAGACCTGTATTGATCATTTTCCAAAACTTAACGCTTTTCTCAATACGAATATTGTATACTTATACTGAGAATTATGCTTCATAATAACTAGATAATATCTATAAACAACACATGTACAGTTTTTGGGAATTGCATGTCATTAACTTGATATAGAATAATCAACCATTTAATGGTTCATTCTTTTTTCTCGAAATTACAACAATATGGCAACATACAAACGGTTGCATATTGTCATTTTAAATAGGACTTTTTGCATGCAAATGTTATGAAAAACACATTATATTTTGTAGAAAATATCTTTAGGTGTAGCTTACCCTTAATGGGGTTCCCGCCATCACTTCTGGGTTCTTTCCAGTGGAGATTGACAGAGAATCTGTCATAGTCTCCAATCTCCAAACCAGTGGGAGCATCTGGACGATCTGGAAAAGTACAAGTAAACGGATAAGTAAGAGTAGTTGAAGTAATGTAGTTTACCAGACATTTGTCTGGTTTATGTCATTCCAGACTTGAAGAGCAATATCTTATTCCTTCCAATCCACTCTTGATTTCTATCCTCCACTTTGTAAAATAAATCAATTTTATCACTTCACTGTAAAACTTTGTATTCATGAAAGCAATCGAACAACTGAATAAAATCTTTTTTGGGGGGAGGAGGGGATATCACATAATTATACCTCCATAAATATTCTAAACTTGCCTAGTTACACTACACAAAAATATCAATTCTGAGTAGACAAAATGTAAATAATTTAAACTACTGGCCATTTTAACCTAGAGCTCTATAATATTTAAGCTGGTCAATCAAAACAAGATTTATGTATAACTGATGTTAAACCACCACTTACCAAATGGGTTTTTAGCCACAATAGATTTGGTAGTTTCCAGGGGCTCACTGACACCATATGGGTTCTCTGCCTTGACTCTAAACTTGTATGACTTGCCCTCAGTTAGGCCTTTCACTGGCATACTGGTGCCCTGTACTATACCAGGTACCTTCTCCCACAACCCAGTGCCTTCCTCCATCTGCTCCACAATGTAACCTTGGGAACAGAAATATCAGCATTTACTACACCCATCCACATTGGACCTGTATCCTTTTGTTCGTACATTTATGATATTGTAGCTCTCCAAATTTCCCTTTTTATTTATGTCAGCTAGTATATATGGGTAATTTCTGCATAATTTTCTTCGACAAAATTGGGCTTATTGCTCATTATATATATTGTCTTTCTACTGATGCATTTCCAAACTTTGAATTCTGCAGTAAGAATTTCTTCTAAATATAAGGTTGCTTGTTATGAAAAGAGGAAGTCTTATAAGTTTAAAAAAGACAAAAAAAAAAAAAAAATACAATTTCAAAGAACAAAATTTTGTTTTACCATATATTGAAATGTTATAATACTACCTGTGATTGGAGCTCCACCATCATCCTCGGGTGGTTTCCATTTCAGAGTGCATGAGGTGGCAAACACATCAGAGACATCTAGTGGGCCCTCTGGGGCACCAGGGCGATCTGAAATCATGGTATTAACCATTGAATTACAGCTGACAATTTGACTCCTATGAAAATACAGTCATTCATTCTAACAAAAACTGGGTAACAGCAGATGAGTCGCACAACTTAAAGGGAACAATAAGACATAAACTAACAGTTGTGAATTTTTGTTCTTGTAGGACAATAATTCCTTTCAAATAATTTTAATTCACACTGAATATCACTTTAGAACTACTCGAGTTCAAAAAAGTCAAACTAGATTTACATCTCTTATACTATTACCTTTTTTTGCATACATGAATATATTTGTTATCCAATAAAAAATCAGTGAAACTGTCACAGTTAATCCATGCTTTAAAAACTTTAAAGCCACCAATTACAAACAACCTACCTAGCACAATAACATTGATATCTCCAGAATCAGTGCCATTCTTATTGGTGGCTGTGATGGTATATTTGCCAGTGTCTTCTCTCTTGGAGATGGGGATGTGGAAATTGGCTTCCTCATCATTGTTGTCCATTGAAGTCTAGGAAAGCAAAATAGAAATAAATCAATTGATCAAAAAATAAAATAATAGCGTACAATAATTGTTCCTCGGAAATAAATGACAATTTCTTTGATTTCCTTACCAATTTGTAATCACTTTGACATTAGAAAATTTTCACATCAATTTATTTAACCCATGGTGCATTCAATCACCATGTATCTGATATCAAACACTATATTTCAGCAGTATTATACCTACCCTATTATCAGGCAAAATGCCTTTTCCATTCTTGTCCCAAGTAACAGTAGGTGTTGGAGCACCAGAGATGGGCACCTTGATGTCCAGAGGCTCTCCAGCACGCACACGGATCTCAGATGGGAAGTTAAGACCATCCTTCTTTATCTTAGGAGCCTCTAAATTTTGGGAAGAGGAGGAGATACATTTATCTATCTATCCATTTATCATGTGGAACTGGGTCTATTTTCAGTATAATATTCATACTTCAAAACTTTAATTACATTTTTAATAAAATCACAAAATATTGTCAGTCAATAATAATCACAATAGTCTAATCTAAAAGAAGTTTTATAAGTAGGCCTACTTTTATACTAATAATTGAAGGCATAAGCATTAATGTGAGGAAAAGTGTAAATACAGGTTATGCATTTCCATTTTTATGACCCTATTCTTTTAGATCAACAGAAACAAACAAGGAAAATATGATATCAGTTAAGCACCAACCATTCATAGGCTTGGCTGCAATGGGTCCAGAAGTCTGGCTGGGCTCAGAGCTGCCTCCCTTGTTGACAGCAGATACTCTGTATTCATATTCCCTTCCAGCTGTGACACGATCATCAGTGAACTCACAATCCTGAGGAGCAAGAAGAATCAGTAAAACTTTGTTAAAAAGTGAAACAATCAAAGCAACTGAGCAATCCCAGTATTTCCGTTATACCTGAACACTATACCTAATGCCAAGTACCAACAATCTCTATCACAGGCTCATGCAAAGTGAAATAATGGAGGTAAAATCTTAATTGTCATATGTCAAAGTGGATCTCAAAGTGGAGAAGATTCTTAACAACTTCAGTTTTCAATGGAGTGAGCATGGAGCAATAGAGTAGCTTTTGTGTTTAGCCAGTTAACTAACTGCTGGCTGGTGTCAGGTAATCACTTTATATGGTCCACTCATCTCAGGTAGCCACTGTCACCTGTGTCACCTAAATTTGCATCCAGCCCTCAGTTTCTTTCAGGTACTTGAATGGCATATTACCGGTACCTGTTAAATTTGATACATCTTGTCTGGTTCAAACCTATAGGTGTGATTAATTCAGCAAATGCACGTCTCCTTGTAACAGGAAAGTCAAATTTATTTTGCAGACTTTTTAAAGTTCTCAAGAGCACCAAAAAAATAAATAAATAAATAAATAAAAAAATTACAGACTTTCCTTCATTTTATGTTTTAATTCGACATTTTTTTGCCATTTGATGCAACCAATTTTTCTAAAACAGAAATATACTCCATGAAAAAACAACTGTATTTTTCAGCACAGCACTGACCTTTACTGGTTCCCTGTTGACCTTGGTCCACCTGTCTGACTTAGGATCCTTCCTCTCCACGATGTACCCAGTGATGGGGGCGCCACCATCTGAGCGTGGTTCATCCCAAGCAATGGTGATATGGTCACGGTTGGTGTCTGTGGCCTTTGGTTTCCCTGGGGAACCAGGCACATCTGGAAACCAAAGTGATATTTATATATATTCTTTTTATATTTTTATAAACAACAGCTACATTTATCATGTTTTCAGTATTCTTTGTCACTATGACAAAGCAGTGACTGTTATAATAATAGTAGTTGCCTTTACCCAGGCTCAGTAACTACACTATCAAATTCATGTGAGCCTCAGATGATATTCAGATATTTCGTCAGCAGAGAAGCTAAACAAAACAGTCATCAGGTCAAGGAGGATCTCAAAATTGAACGGCCTTTCAGTAGTGTTACATCAATTTTGTGCCTAACAATAAACTACAATGAGAGAGAAACACACCATGCCTGTGAAATCAATATCACCAAAATTCTAACTGACCACTTCCAATAAATATTTATCAAAAATGGCATTCCATCCCATATGAATGTGATATTATTTGGTACACCTGTATCTGTTTTTGTAAAGAAGTTACAGTAAAGTAAATACAAAACATGTATGAAAGTTAGCAAACTGGTTGCATTCACAACACCCTAATTCAACTGACCATATGGATTCTTGGCCTTGGTGGCTTTGTCAGTTTCCAGAGGTTCAGACAGTCCCTGGAGATTCTCGGCCATCACTCTGAACTTGTAATCATGTCCCTCCACCAGTTTGGGAACCACACACTCTGTGCCCTTGACAAAGTTGCTCACTTTCTCCCAAGTTCCCCTCTTCATATCCATCTTCTCTACTTGATAGCCTCTATAAGAAAGATATAATAACATCAAAACGAATTAATGAATGTAAGAATAAGTATATATTTTCTTCACATGTCTTTCATTCTCTTATGAAGCTCAATATTCACTGTAAAGCATTAATGAATGTAAAACACAGAACATTACAAACCATACCTCCCTGTCCAAGTACTGGACTTTCATGTGCATTTCAAATTTCAGTCTCCCATTGTAAAACAAAAATTACAAGATGGTCCTTAGCATATTCAAGTTGTCACTTCTCAAGTTTCTTTGAAAGCAAATGTGATAACAAATTTTTTTTATCATAATCAACCTTTCTCCTTCAAAATATGAGAGGATATTGGACACTACTTCCTGTAAATCATTTTGCTACAAACTCTGGAACTATAACTTACGTGATCTCAGTGCCTCCGTCATCTTTAGGTGGTTTCCAAGACAGAGTGACCTGGTCAGCATACACATCAGATACTTCAAGTGGACCCTCTGGTGCCAGGGGTTTACCTGCAAACATGAAGAAAAACTATAATACAAATGTAAATATTTTATCTATTTTTCAATTTGGCATAGGCAGTTGGAGACACTTTTCTTTTAATTATGCTCTACTTAATGTATATCTTACATTCTGATGAACACAAACAATAATCAGGACTTCATCGATTCCTGTTTTATGTCATAACTGTATGTTGGCAGAAACATGAACAGGTTGAACTCACAGATTGAAGCAGTAGTGCAGCAGTTTATTTCAGATACATTACTTAAAAGTATTATCAAATTAGATATCTTATCAAGTAATAAGGAATGTTAAACAGAATATTACCACAATTATATCTCAATACTGATTACCTACCCAAAACTACCACTGATACAGTTGCAGTGTCTTTGCCATAGTCATTGGTTACAGTGAGAGTATAGTCTCCAGTGTCCCCACGGACACAGTTTTTCATCTCCAGCAGGGTAGACTTCTCCTGATGCTCAATCTTTATCCTGTCACCTGCCTCTAGTGGCTATAAAAGTTGAGTTGGAAGACAAAACAGTCATTAATCATCATATATCAAATATTACACTCACTATTGGTTATCACTTAACTGGTAATGACAGTAAATTACAAATATAATTTCCATTCATATGTGGGATAAACGTAGTTGTTTTAATGGCTTACTTTAGGTATAAAGGTTTCATTGAGTTCCAATCAACTATTTGGTTTAAATAGAAACATAATCATTTTCCAATTATATACAATGTACCAAATAAATAAATAATAGCAAATTAACTGGAATCATTTGTGACATGCAGAAAAATTGACTGAATTTACACATGTGATTAATACTAATTTACTATATTTCTGAAAAGAAATGTATACTGAAAGAAAAGACACAACTAAGAAAGATTTCTAGATATTAATTTATTATTAATTTAAAGTTTTGTTATGTATAACTACTTCAAAACTAGTAAAAAATACGAAATAAATAATAATGAAAAACATTGAGAGAGAAAGAGATAAATAGAGATATATAAAATAATAAGCATATAAACAATAAAATAACATTGGTTTACAAAACACAGACTTTATTTTTGAAAATTCATTCCAATCTATAATGCACTACCAGTGATCATAGTGTAAAGCTGTGGATCTACATTCAACACAACTCTACTTATTAGCATACATTTGCAACTGCTTGGACAACTTTGTGGCAACTGCCCCAAACAGCATGTGTTGACCACTGAACACTTAATTCATATCCTGATAAAGATCCCTGTTAGTGCATCACAAATTGGAGTTAAAGAGTATATCAAAATAACTGTCTGAGTGTTACAAACAATGTTACTACTTACAATACCAGACCTAAGAACTTTTGAAAGAAGCATTTAAGCATTTGTGTAAAAGTAAAGAGAAGGAGATATTGAAGAGGGTTCCAGTCCAAAGAATTTAAGGCAGGGAAGGAGAATGAAGAGTGATGAAAAAAGAAAATGGCATATAGGTGAGAGAGAGAGAGAGGGAGAGAGAAGAAGAAGAAAAAGAGAAAGGGAGGGGAGAGATGAAGAAGGTAGGATGGGAAGGAGTGAGTGAGAGAGAGAGAGAAGTTGCAGGCTGATCATTATGGCATAGCATAAAATTTATAACTTGTAACTAACATTAAAGCATTATATTAGCTGTGAAATGTTTTCAAGTTACTGACCAGGGATATAATTGATGTTTTTTTTAAACAATATACCAATTTACTTGAACTGACAATGAGCAATTGTTCCCTCTCATTAACTTGAAGACTAAAATATCTAGTCTACAGTGTAGCAAAATGCATCTATGCAATCTAATTTTCAAATATAATAAGCAAGGATGTTAAGCCATCTACATATTATTATAATCTATGAACATCCTTCAAAAAAGAAAAAGAAGAAGAAGAATATAATTGAGCCAAGAAGGCCATCAGAGATCATATTCTTTTACAAATGTTGTCAAATCTATGATTATACTTTAATTTCAAAAAATAAAAATTAGTAAAAGAATAAATGACCTCTGGATCAAACTTCATGGCATACACATAACCATAATATATATACCTCCTCTGTAAAGTCACCTATGTCCTGCAGAAAAAATTTAAAACATAGCACCCTGTTATTCTGGTTGTGGCATTGATTTCATTTACTTGGTTTTCAATTGAAAATTAAACCTTTGTATTAGATATAGCTGTGCACATGAAAGCTGACCATAAAGATGAAAATATTCTTGAATTTGTATACAACCATAATAAGGATTGTGAAATATTTTTCTAAAATAAAACTCTCAATTAACAGTTATTATTAGGTTCTATCAATATCTTAAAATAAGTCAAATATTGGGTATGTAGTGATGGGAACAGGGTGACAAGCACAGCACTTCTCTACCTCAACTACATTCATACACACGCACACACACACCAAGTTTTGTTTTAATCTAGAATTACAAACCGACAATATCTCAATACCATGTGGCAATTTACTTGTTTCAATCTTAAAAGGCTATCAGATATGGTCATACCTTTTAAAGGTACAAAGAATTCTTTAATTTTTCATCATCACTTAGTTTATTACTAGTCCCCACTGCAGCCTGTGCATTGGGTAAAGCATCTTTATGACACTTTGGAATCAGGAAAAAAGCCTCCCAAGTCACAGAAAATGCTGTATAGCTTAGATGAAAATGCAACATACAAGTATAAATCTCCTATCTTTCAAACACCACTCACCCACAGCATGAAAAACACGAAAAAACAAGGGAATTGAAGTGGATGAAGGTGAGATAAGGAGGTTAGTGCATTTGTTGTGGGAGGACAAGTGCATAAGGCAAATGGTGAGGGAGAAAAAAGTGCATAAGGTAAAGTTCCACTGCAGAAGTGTTTGGTTGATCCCATAACTTATGGATCATTGGTTGACCAAATAGATCAGTCACCTGGATGGTGGAAATTGAATAGAAAAGGTTCAAAACAGTTTGGGGGCAATCAAGAAAATGTTCAGGGTGGTAAAAAGGAAGAAGTCTTGACATCAAATTGATCACAGAACTGGGCAAGTTTCAAGAATAAGGTAAATTTGGGTATGGAATATTCTTTCATTAAGTGCAAGGATTTTTTAATTTTAAAATTACAAAAACTTAGTTTTCCAATCACAAAATATATAAATTGTATTATCAACAATATGAGGTTTTTAAACTTAATATTGTTGATAATACAATTTATATTAAAATAGCAACTAAAGAAATGCCTTTAAATAATTTAATGGAGTGTATAGGGGTGATCATTATTATATTAATCAGTACATCTTGTACATTTGACTGCTGCAGTGGTTATTACCAATTCATGTGCAATTGCACAGCTAGTTTTCAACACATCAATCTTTAATCTCTCAAAAGCCTCAAAATTATTGAATTATTACAATTTTTCTCATTCATTACAGGTAAAAGAAGACAATTCTTGCAATAATTAATAATAAAAAACAATGTGACGATTAGTTTTTTAATGGATTAGAGTTGATGTGTTCAAATTTTCAAAAAAGTGAATTGAACTTCAACATGTGTTTCAGGATTTCTACACTTTATCTGAGACCCATACTTACCGCCTGTTCCTGAATTTACCAAAATACAGGTAGAATTGTGTAAATATTTAGGTTAACATTGATATTTCCTCAAAAAATAATCTTAAACATACAGAGACATTTAACTTTAATACATCCTTATGTCACACCTCTAACTAAATCACCAATGTGTATGATTAATAAACCTTTGACAGCATCTTAACTAAAACAACAAATATTTCTATTAACCTGCAATCTGAGTTTTATTATTAAAGACGTTTCTTTTCATTTGGAAATAATGTAAGGCTGAGGTGGGATACAGCACTGCCAATTCTACACATCTGAGCATATTCCATGCACTCTTTCACTATGGGACTCTAGCTTTTAAGTAGGCAATTCTGGCAATAGGCTGCCAACCCCCTTTCTAACCTAAAAACTATGAAACGGAACCAAAAAATCTAACCTTCTTATCCTGAGTGAGTCTGGTCCAGACAGGAGTCGGAGGAGGTTCACCAGTGAAGGGAACATTGAACATGAAAGCCTGGCCAACCTTGATACGGATCTCACTGAGGGCAGTTCTGTCAATTCTTGGTGGCACTTGAAGGAAATTTTAACAGTAAGTAGAAACTAAAGATCCAGTGTTGGAATGAGACACAGAAAGAAGAATACAAGAGAAATCTTTTGTTTATTTACATTTGCAAATTTTGAAATGTCATTTACTTCAAAATATTTGTCAGATTTATTTTGAACACAGTTTCAGACATGTGATGATGTGGTTTCATACAATCTATCATTGCTTCATAAAGAAAATAATGATAATGATTATTTGTAACAGCATCACAGACCTCTTTCTGATAGTCAAAAATTTATCTTGTGACATGCCACTGTAGGTCTAAATCTATAATTCTTTTCATAATAATGCTTTACAGCTTCCACACATTAATTCAACTCCACTCACATCTCCTGGGTTTGGCAATGACAGGCCTGGATGCCTCACTGGGCTTAGATGGTCCAGCCTTGTTGACAGCCATCACACGGAAAGTGTATTCTGTGCCTTCCTTCAAACCAGCAACTGTGGCCTTGGTGTCTTTAGCAGAGACATCTTTCACCTGAAAGGGATAGAAAAATGAGATGGCGTTCTTTTAACTGATTGGACTTAAAAATCTACTTTCTCAAGATGCAGACATCATTCATTCTTGCCAAAAAGAAAAAAATATGAAAGAATGCCCAATAAAACAAATAATATAATGAATTGTTCTTAATAAATGTTAGACACAGCAGTTGATCATGTCACATATAGGATGCTAAAGTCCATCATTATAAAGCTTGCCTGAAAAGCCTAAAAGGTATTGAATTTTTATAAAGTCAGGACAAGTATGATGCCAAAGTCCTTACCCTTCTCCAGTCACTGAACTTATCCTTCTGTTCCACTAAGTAGTTTGTAATGGGGGAGCCACCATCATTTTTGGGTGCCTTCCACTCCAACTCAACATGGTCTGCATCCCAATCTGTCACCTCAAGATCTGTGGGAGCATCTGGCTCATCTGGGAGAATAAAATGTACAAATGTTTTAAGCTGTGTCATAATGTTCAGTATAGTACCTGACATATGTTAAATATATGATTCTGTTTCAAATATCACTACATTAAAAATAAGAAAGGGAGAAGGGTATTAAAAATTTGAATGAAACATGAAATTGAAATAAAAAAAACCAATGGCACAACAAAACTAATCCTTACTCCTCAGGTCTATATTTCCACTTTTAATATCAGCATCTGAAAAATTCTTTTTCACCTCTTAACCCAAAACTTACCATATGGATCTTTGGCCAAAATATCATGCTCTGTGCCAATAGGCTCACTGACACCTTGATCATTGGCAGCACGGATACGGAAGGCATAGGTCTTTCCAGGGGTCAGACCAGTCACCTCATACTTGAGATCATTAATCTTGCCAACCTCTGCCCATGTTCCACGGCTTGTGTCCATCTTCTCAATGATGTAGTGCTTGATTGGTGAGCCGCCATCATCCTTGGGTGGCTTCCATTTCAATGTGCATCTGTCTCTGTATACACTGTAAATGTCTACTGGGCCTTGAGGTGGAGATGGGCGATCTAAACAGAAGAAAATAATATGTAAATTATGCACATACCATCAATTAAATCTTGTAAATGCATTCACTTGATATTAAATTTATGTATTATCAGATTTGGCATTGACATTGCCTTCCTTTTAACTTGAATAACCATATTTTACCATGCTGAATTTAACTTTTAATATCATCTACTCACCCAGTACTTTCACTTTAATGGGTATATCAGTCTTGCCAGTGCTGTTGGACAAAGTCAGTTTGTATACACCTGTGTCATCCCTGGTGGCATGTGGGATAGTCAGCTCAATGTTATCTGGGCGGTGTTTTAAGTCTGCTCCCTCACGATGGAGGCCTTTGCCATCCTTCTCCCATTTAGCCTCCGGGACTGGGTGAGCTGTATACAGATGAAGAAATGAAGATTTTAATTTCCATTTATTTATTGGATTTCAATTCTGATCATTTTCAGAGGGAGGGAGGTTGGAGTAGTCAAAATCATATAAGACTTGCACTACACTGCATAGGTTGGCTTAACTTTTGATTTAATTGTAACATAATTTTTAGTCTCTCTTACAAAAGATGTCTGTTTCAATTGTGAAAATATTCTGGCCAAATTCATGACAGAATCGGAAATCAAATCTTTAGCCATATGCACTTTATACTTATTAGCTAGATTAGATATCACTTTGTTTTCAGTGTATAGATACATCACATATACACCTGTGAACCTGTAGATACAATATGAGTCAGCAAGGTGTATGTGTACAAGTGGGATGCACATATGAATATCACATATACCATACTGACAAATGTTGTATGGACTTTATACTACGAGTAAACATCATTGTGCATGGTTTGCCTGTATGTAAGATACAACACATGTGGGTCTTTTGTTCTTGATATGTGCCATGATAATATAAATCTTACCAGTGTATGGTACTTTGATATCAATGGTCTCTCCAGCCTTGACAACAATCTCTTTGGGTAAAGCAGAGGGGTCAATCACTGGAGCTCTCTCCTCTGGAAATAAAAAACAAATGTATCTGATTTATTTGATTGCAAATATTGATTCTTACTTTCAAAAATAATATCTACTTTCCCTCCCCCCGCTCTCTCTCTCACTCATTCACACTCACACACATGCACATACACACACACATGCACATTCAAAACAAAAAATATTTCAGTTTTCAAAACTAACATTAAACTAAGAACTCACTCTCTTCCACAAGGACTTCAGCTTTGGTCTCCCTGTCTCCAATACGGCAGACATAGACACCAGCATCTCCCATTTGAGAAGATTCAATAACCAGCTTGTTCACACCATCTGCTTCTTTTTTAATCCTTAGCCTGTCAAATAAACACTATGAAGTTTAATCTTAACAAGAAAATCTGAAAATTTGAAATTCAATTTAACTGTCACAAGCTTTTCATCAAAAAGAAAACCCATATAAAAGACAGTAGTGGTAGTGGATGATGACATTAAGTGGGACAAGCTATACAGGATACTTCTAAAGCAAAAATTTACCTCAAAGTTTTAAATATTGATTAATTATACTTTAAATAGTACATAAATATTCTCACTTTACTTCTTCAAAATAAATTTTCACTGAAATCATCATTCATCTTAAAATAATCCTTTTTGTCTTTAATGATTAGCAGTTACAGGACAATTCTACATCTATAATTCTTAAAAATCATGTTCATAGTGTACCTAGGGTCCTTCAGTGGATCAATAAGGATTCCATCCTTGAACCATTTGACAGGCTTGCCATGAGGGTTGGTGGCCTGGCAGGTCAGCTCTAGGGGCTGCTCCTCAGTGACAGTGGTGTCCTTCAGACGCTCTAAGAACTTAATTTCAGCTATGAAATGAAGATAACGAGAAAGGGGTAAGTTTTATCTCTCAAAATTATCATAACTGAAGTCAGGCCCGTAGCCAGTGGGGGTTCGGGGGTTCGAAAGAACCGCCCCTTTTGGTGTGAAAAGGTCCACTTTGGGTAAAATTTGATCTAGGTTCATGAAGTTTTTATGGAAAAAGGTCCACTTTTTCAGAAAAAGAACCCCCCTTTTTAAATTGCTGGCTACGGGCCTGTAAGTGGCTGTAATGGTCTATATCTTATATGTGGTGAAAATAATGATGGCTAAAAAATAAAAAATCAATCATATGAATCATATTAATCAATACTGCAGGCAGACTGGTTAAGGCTGAAAAAAAAGAAAACAACATAAAAACAATGACTTAACAGCGTGGTATTTTTTCTGTAACGTCTTCATAATCCAAGTAAAATCCATCTTATGTATTTCAAAGAAATGAAAAAGTCTAAATAAAATGTGATATTCTACCATTAATTTTGCAAAAAAAGCATGTGTTCAGAGTACTAGTATGTTAGTGGTAGGCCTTACTAAATCTACATAATATGTTGCTTGCTTTTAGTAGCCATAACAATTAAAACAGATCATAAAATAAAACTGGCCTCCTAAATTAGTCGATAAAGAGCTAGTTATATCTACTATTTCTTCTACTGCATATTCAAAATTGTAAGTGATAATAGAAAGGTACATATATGTGAAATCAATAAATTACTGGTAAATTCATGTAGCTTGTGAAAAAATAATTAGAATTGTAACTACTTTTGTTATCCTCTACGAAGCAACATTTTAAAAGCAGATAATATAGTCCATTAAACAACCGAAAGTTGTTAACTGGAGATGTTTAAAACATCTTTGCATCATCTATTTTGTTTAAATCAAAATATAGACAACTCCCGGTAAGCAACTGAAATCTGAATATACCATCCAAATGAAACAGTACTATATAAATTCCACATTACATATGCAAAGGCAGATCCAGAGTGATTTTCACCCTACCCCCCCCCCCTCCACCCCAAATCCCCAACTCACTCCCCCTCCCCCATCTGACAGACTGGATTTAGTCTCTCTTAGAGTTGGTGCACTATTAACTTAGAATAATATTAACATTTAAAAAAACATATACAATTTATCTCTTAATATACCCTTCCCCTTCTAAAACTCATATTTTGCACTAATAAAGGTTTGCAACCACCCCTTTCCTCCTCCAAGATCTGCCTATGCTATGAGCTGTGTTCCACCAACACATATGTTTATATATAAATGCATATATATATATTTAAGCAGGAAGGGATATGTAGAAAATGCAGGATGCAGCCAAGAACTGAAAAAAAGAAGACAAAACAATACAAACCAACATATTTCAGTTCATGTGAAGGATGTGTAGGTAAGTGATGTATGAATGAGGAAAACAAAGGAAAGGGATATAAGATAAAAAGACAAAATATTGTTTTCCAAAATGTGATGGATTGATTTTCCACATATCCCACCACTGACACATAAATACAACATACAGTGAGTCAAAAACATCTTTAAAAACATTTGCCTTAACTGACCACTCTCCTTTTGAATAATCTTTTCACAAATAATTCATTTGAAAAAAAAAAGTTATTTTACGATGAAGAAAGAGATAAAGACTCATTTCAGGGAAAAATGTAAAAGATAAAAAAGCAACATCCCAAATATATGTGGTCAATTTTAAAACAAAAATACAAAAGTCATCGATTGCATGTGGTAGTAAAGAAGAGCTGAAATATGAATAGTGCAATGATAAAACTGCTGCATTTGCTGTGTGATACTGGCATACAGGGTGCAGAATAAGCAGTGCAGTGAAAGGAAAAGTTACTGGGAGAGGGGATGGATCTTCTTTTCTTTTCTTTCTTTCTTTCCTTTTTTTAACAACTGCAAGGTAGAGAGAGTGATGGAAAGGGATAAAACAATGCTCTTCACTTGGATGGATGTTAAGTTGTATAATCTGTGCAAAATTCAATGGGTTTGGTTACACAATCAAAATTGGGTTCTCTCTCTCAGAAATTGATTGTAAAATGTTTTGGCTTCAGAAACTAGATACGCCAGCAGAAAAAAGAGGATGTAAAAATTAGGACAGTTAAATAAAGTACACATTAGACCTACTTCTAGGTATATCATTATATATTTTTTCTGGATGTCGACAAAAATATTGACAAAAAAGGTATAACAATATTTTAAGGGTGGTGATATAAAATAATGAATCTTTGAGTAAAAATGTCAATAAACATGATAGAAGTGACCGCATGGGTTTATAGCTTCATTTACTGGTAAGGTATGGGGCAATTATAATAGTGCAACAAAGTGAAAAAAATGAAAAAGACAATCAGTGAAAAACACAGGTGCTTAAGATGTCAATCTCATATCCATTCCTAAGTGTCTGTGCTGCAGTGATAGCTCTATTGAAAAACATAATAATACATAATAATAATAAGCAAATATGAACAAAAAGGTGCTCTAAAAGAAATGGTTCAGTCCCAGAGCTTCTTGGGAGCTCACTGACTCAACCTCCTGAAAAGGACAACATAAATTTAAACCCACTTTCAAACACTCCATTTTCATACTTACCCTTCTTTCCTAAAGGAATAAATTATCAGTTTCAATTGATGTTTTTATCTTTCTGATAGTTTTCTTTTTTGGATATGTTAAGCTTAAACAACATATTGGTGCTATGTCAAAGCCACCATTTATTATCAAAATTTATCTGATATTGTCTTAAAATACTTCCCTCATACTGTATATCCATGAACTAAAGAATATAAATAAATTACAACTGTCTGTGGCTGATTTTTATCACTGGGGTAAAATAAATCCCCACACATACATGATATTATCTAAATATATAGCATTTAATAAACCTGTAATCCACATTTATAAAGTANGAATATAAATAAATTACAACTGTCTGTGGCTGATTTTTATCACTGGGGTAAAATAAATCCCCACACATACATGATATTATCTAAATATATAGCATTTAATAAACCTGTTATCCACATTTATAAATTTATAAATCTTTTTCCATTGTATTTATCATTCGTAATTTATATACATATTCCACATCATTTGTAACTTACGTTCAACAAAAAGCTCTGCCCTGGAATTCTGAGACCCCATTCTTGCACAGTATTCCCCTTCATCAGTCTGTTTGATGCCCAAGATGGTGAGTCTACGAATACAATCCTCCTTGTCGATGGCATATTTCTTGACATTAAGTTGGTCAATTTTGACATCACCTTTGTACCAGTCTACGTCTGCTTCTGGATCGTTGACTTCACATTCAAATGTAGCAGTCTCTTCTTCCATGGCATCCTGGTCAACCAGCAGACGAACAAATGTCCACTCTGGTTCTGTATATTACAAAGATACAGAAAATGTTAGGAATGTAGAATTCAAAATTTGGAACCCCACCAAAAGTGGAAGTATGCTACAAGAAATTCATGTCAAGCTGTCTGAAATTATATGGAAAATGATGACAACTATGGTGAAGATGTTAATTAAAATATTCTGTCAAAAATCTGTATTTGTCTATTTATAGAGAAGTATGGCAGAAAACTTAAATTGAGCATGATCACTGTCTTACCATCCACATAGAAATCACAGAAGGTTGAGTCATCAGCAGACTTGCAGGTATACTCGGCTTCATCATCGTCTTCTACTTTCAGGATACGCAGGATACAGCGGTTCTCACGGCGTGCAATCTCATATTTGCCCTTTTCAGGCTAAAATGATACACATAAATGAACAGTTAGATCAGAACATACTTTATCTATAAATTTACTAAGATTCAACAAATCTTTTGAATTTTCTTCTCCTTGGTCTATTACCAAATGACTGAGTGGGCAGGGATAAAATGCCTTTGCTGGAATCTGTAAAACAATCTATCCTATTCCAATGTGGGCCACTTTTTTTTTTTTTTTTTTTTTTTTTAGCTATGAATATAAGCAGTTTCTCTATGATATCTGCTTAATTGATACTTAACATAAGTGAGGGTCAGTGTTGGATGCAGTGAGAAAAATGTTTTAAAATCTGTCTGCCTCTTGCTGCAAATAATACTATCACTAGTGGGAGTGTGATGAAAGCAGATTTCTTTAAAGCAGGTCTTGTTTCGATCAGTAACTAGGACACTATCATTTGCGTTCTTATAATACTGAATGATATTGAAATAACTCATATAGTTGTGAGGGGGAGGGGGGTAATGGTTGCTGTTCAGTTGACTGGTTTGTGAACGGATGTGAGGGGAAGAGAGGCAGTGGTTTTTCAATGTGATAAATGCCTTTGAAATTGGAGGATACTGTTTAAGGATCATTGGGATTACACTTTAAACTAAAATGAGGGCCATGGGAAAATCCTAATTCAATATATTAGGATCTAATATCACTAACTACAGGTGAGAAAGATGAGAATAAATTCAGGTTATGACTTAACTAACAAATGAAGTGGTGAGTGGGAGAAATATCCACCCCAATATGCCTAAGACCTACAAGGTGAGAGAGGAAATGCATAAAGTGTTTGTGGGATCCTTCATGGTACAAATCTTACCACATTTCCCTTCCTAGCTGCTGCCAACTCTTCCTGAACCAACAACATTGATACAAAACATTACACACTACTAAATCAAAGACACTTGGAAGCTCATGTCCCATTTACGAACAAATCAAAAATAACAAGGATGAATAATTCAACAAAACAAAATAATTACGAACAAAACATAAAATAATATATATAATATCTATTGTGTTAATCAACAATTAATTAAATCTAAAAAAATAATAAAAAACAAAATTTACAACAATGAAAAATATGATTTATTAATCACATAAATAAACAATAAAATCAAAGAAATCAATTTAGAAAGCCAGTTAAGGACAGTGTAAGTACAGATTCATATGGGTAAAATAGTTATAGATGGGGGAGGGGGGGTAATTAGAAAAGCCTCCACACATATCAGGAATTCTATTTGCAAATAGGTTTTAAAAATACAAAGTGAAAATATAGCTGTTTTTATGAAAGCTCTCAGTTTGCAGCAACTGAAGACTATTACAAAATGACAAATGTGATGGGAAGATGTCAGACATATACATTTAGAATGGAAATATGAAGAAATTATAGGCAAGAAGAACTGATGGAATACTGCAAATGAAGGCAGAAAACCCAGATAAGGAATGGGCTTCTATCACGTCTAACAGGGGTAAGATTTATTTAGAATAAACCTTAGGGTCCTCTAATTAATCACATGCAGGGATGTGAATGGGTCAAATCAAGTTGCCTTGAATGTATCACATCCCTTCAAGTGAGAAGAACAAGATGCAAAGAAAACAGATTAGAGCCACAGATCTAAAAAGTCTGCTACATTTGGCCATTTTGGTACATTTCACAGAAAGCTGGAAGTCTATGAATAAGACTGCTAGTTTTTGTCATTTTCAAGGAAAGGCATTCTAACAGTAATATATTTAGGTAATAGTTTTACTTCTGATTGAGCTAAATCCCCTTCACCAAGCTTTAATAATCACATTCATTATTGATGGTATTGCATCATGCTTGATTATATCATCATTGAAAAGAGAGAAAATCTACAGTTTCAAGATGAGTTTCAAAAAGAGGATTTGGGTTCCTACAAACAGTAATTGTGGCTACCAACAAATACAGAGGGTAAATCACTACAAGAAGAAAGTTAACTCCTAAAAAAATAGGAAAGGTGGATTTCTACAAAGAATAGGAAATACACTGCTCACAAGTACTAAGAAAGGGATAAATTTTCACTAAACCAGGGCCTTATATCACATTATAAAGAAGGGAGAGGTCAGATCAAAGGCCTTATTTATTTACCTCACTTGCAGTCTTGCGCCAGTCCTGGGCGTGTATCAAATAAATATTTGTTAAATTAATAGACAAAAAACTTAAAAAATACAGTAAGTAAAATCTAAAAAAAAAAAGTTAATATAATCAAACTGAAATAAACTGAGTTAGTATATATTGAACAAAAATTATATTTGTTGTTTACTAACTATAGGAGGTGAGGGTATAATTTTTGTTCTAGCTTTTTTTCTCTCCTTGGAACACAAAGTTGCTTTGATTTATCTTTTCAATATATTTTCTGATAATTTCATAAAAAATATTTATTTTTATTTTTCTACTACCAGACAAAACAGCATGTTGACATAAAAATATTTTTTCATTAATTTCAGCGACCAAGAAGAGAAATAGGACAAAAGCCAAAATTAACATAACTTTATTACAGCAGATATATAGAAAGCAGCTAAAGAGGGAAATGGAAATAAATTTGAAAGAAACTTACTGCCTTCAGACACCAAAGAAGAGAAAAGAAATGAATAACATCAAAATATATTCACACTTAATCGCAAACTAACAAAAATAAATGCCACATGAGACATAAGTACAACAGACAAAAAACATTTCTTTAAAACATTTAAAAATCAGATACAAGCCACTGAATAAGCAATTGAAGATTAAATCATTTCTCATAAAAAAATTCTAGAATGGATTTCAAAAATTTTTCTTGAACATCTTATGTAATTATAAAAAAGACAAATCGAAGTATTATTTATTATAGGTGGTAGATTCTATAGCTCCAAAATCAATGGTGCTGTGTTTTAAGTAGTTTCCAGCCGTTAAAATCAGTTATTCTTTCCAAATGTTCAAATATTAAATAATAAACAGAAAATAGTTTCAAATTAAATACAGGCATTTCTTCTAAATTCGCACTTAGAAAGAAACCAAGATCTGCTTTATTACAAGATCAACTAACACAGATAAGTATGTGACCTACCTGAATGAGTTCTCCCATCTTGTACCATTCCACATCAGCGAGAGGATCACAGATGAAACACTCCAGGATGGCATTCTTTTTCCTGTGCACAGTCATGGTCTTAGGCAGTGGGGTAGTGAAATACACCAACTTAGGCCTCTCTAAAATTCAGATAGTTTCAGAGATATAATAACAGCCTTCAAAATTCAGAATTGTTTACTGTATATAACAGGTATTTGTACATCACTGTGTGTAGGGGTGGTTATATTAAGCATGTGAAGCACCTTTAAAATAAATTTCCAAAATTTTCAATGAAAAACCAGCCATCTAATCACTTGCACATAGGGGAGGGACTGAAATATTTATTATATTGGACCTCATCTGGATCATAGCCACTGTTGTACCTACCCTCTACATACAGCCAAGCAGATGTTGTGGCATCATTACACTGGCAGGTGAACTTGCCACCGTCTTCCAGAATGACTTCTTTGACAATCAACTTGTGGTTAGGACCATCACTGTGGAAGTGATATTTCTCTCCATGGAAAATCTCCAGCTTGTTTTTGTACCACCTGTTTGTAAAAACAAACAAAACCAATTCATTGATGCATCAAGTCATATGTTTTTTGGAATGAAAAGTTGGCATAATATGTGGCTGGCAAAAGCAATACACATTTTTTGGGGGGCTTTTGAAAATATCAGACACAAATGTTGATTTTGGCAACCAAAGCAGAATCATCCAACTTCACATGGATACACATTAAAATCCATTTCTACCAGAGTGAATCTTTCAGTCCAATGTTCTGAGCCAATGAGAAGTGGCCAGGATAACACATCAATGCTGCACAATATAAAATTGACTGGAATCTACTAGGTCTCAGTCCCAACAATGCAGGAGATGACAACCTCCGAAGTAAATGATTATGATATTACTAACCTGACAACAGCATTAGGCTTGCAGAATGTACACCTAAACACAGCATTGACCTCATCTTCCTCCTTCACCTTCTGATCCTCAAGCTCCTTCACAAACTTGTCTGGCTCCTGAAATTGAACAAAACAAATCAAAATTATTCAAATGAAAGGAATTTTTGTTAAAGTTCATCACATTCTCTTGCTGCATGTACCATGAGACTCCACTGTATCCTCAGCAAAGCGTAACAGTAAATTCACTATTTTTAATTTAAGCCAAAGAACTAAAGATTTAAAATCAGGTAAGAAAAATAGACTGTATGCTGTTTACAGTTTAACAGCAAAAAGCTATATTCATAATTGGCCCTACATTCCTCCATTAGCCTTCAACACACACGCACCTCTTTCTTTTTCTCCGTATGCTTCAGAGTTGGCCAATCTGGTACAACATCAGCCAGAGAGGCACGGCGATCTTTGGAGCCTCTGCGCTCTGGTGCCAACTTCTCTGAATCTTCTTGGCGAGAAACTTTCTTCAGTTTGGGTATCTCAATGCTGTCCCGACGACCAGTGGAGGACCTGCGCCTTTCTGGGGTTCCCTAAATTGTGGAGAATAATACAAAATGAAACATGACACTTAATGTCAAAAACAATACCAAAAACGATGCCTTAATAAAAACAAAAATGAAAAAAATCTAACTGATATATGACTATACGTGTCAGACAGTCAAAATGCTATTGGTAAGTAACCATGAATGACATTGAAGAAATGTAACCTAATACCTGAAATGTATTTATCTCAATATTATTTTCAAGTTACTTGATTTAAATTTTGCAGTAACTGTAGTACCTCTGTTTCACTGTCACCTTCAGTTTTCTTCAAATTGATCTTTGCCATCTCAATCTGTGATGGTCGCCTGCCTTTGTCCACTAAAATATTATCATACAAAAAATATAGTGGGACTGAAAAAATTACCATACACACAAAAAAAAAAAAAAAATATATATATATATATATATATATATCATTCAAAAAACAGAGATACATATAGATTACATCACTTACTTACCTTTACATGTCAAATCTAAAGATACCAAGTATAAAATTTTACTGCAAATTCTGATAATTATGCATACCTTCCTTGAGCTTTCCCCAATCTGGATCTTCATCCTCTTGTTTGTTCTTTTTGTAATTGCTACAAGATAAACAAAGAACATGCATCTTAGTACAATTGGAAAGACCACAGGCAGACATTGAAAATCATCTTCCAATTTTTACTCTTTGAATTGACATTGGAGTAGTCACAACTTTTAGGTTTAATACTTAAAATTATTTAATGTTATTCACAGGATATAGATATTGCTTTTAGAGCTTACTGTTTCAAGTGATATCAATGACGCCTTTCTGACCTTTGTTTTAGAAGATCCCTAAAGTCTAATTTAGAATCCTTGGGATCTTTGACAAAGATGGTGAATTTGGCTTCATCAGTCATTTGTCCATTAGCATTTTCCAAGAACACAGCATATTTTCCCTCATCTGGAAAGCGGGACTTCTTAATGTGCAATGTGCAGCGTTTGTTGGGGGCATCCATATTGATGACTGTGCGAGCATCATTCTTAAGCTGCCTCTTCCCTTTGAAGAAACGCACAAATGGCATTTCCTTGCCATCAACATCAATTTCCAAGGTAATAGGATCACCTGAAAATTTAGAAGCATTTGAAACACATTACACTGAAATGCATTCCAAGGACAGAAGCACAACAGTAGCAATATACCAAATAAAAAATTTTAAAAACCAAGTACTGAACTTCAAAAGCAAGCAATACCTGACATAATATGTAGGAAGTTATGCACTATTTTCCCAGTGCTTTACCTTCAAGGATCACCAAATTAGCCGGCTTGTTCTTGATCTTAGGTCCTTCAACAGGGCCTTCTGGAGCCTTCTCTTGTTTAGGCTTACGTTTTGGACCCTCCTCCTCATATATTCCTGCAGCAGCCTTGATGAAAGACAAAACATCATATCTTGATGATAACAACACATGTACTAGTGATCATGAAGATATCAAATAGCATTTAAATCAATGGATAATTTAAAGATCTTTTTGACTGGGGCATAACCTAGTTGATTATACTAATTTTTGTGCATCAAGAAATTAAATTACAAGACTACCTCTTTATATATTTTTATACTATTTATTGTGTCAGGCAATTTACTGTTTTACCTACTAGTAATAAATACAGATGTTTAATATAATGCCATGCATGATAAAAATTGAAATTGGTAGAGTTCAACATTTTACGGAAAATTGCTCAATAAATATATATTTCTTCTTTATTTTCATGTAACTATTAAAATATAAACTTACTGCTTTCTGTTCAGAACTGGGTTCAACTGTAATAATTAGAGAGAAAAATGAACAACATACCCATTTAAAAATAGTGAAAAAAATTAATATAAACAATCAAAGCAATTATTCACTAAAGGATTACTCAACATAAAAAATTATCAAGATTTGATCTCATGAAATTAACCAAACAACTAAAAACTAATTCTTGAGATCGATAAACACTACTGATACATTTTACAAACATTATTGATATGTTTACTTATTATAACACATTGTTGTTTTTAGTTATCAAAAGAGCAAAAGAGAAGAAATATAGGAAATATAATTCTGACTGATAGCACATAAGTATAAAACAGTAAAACTGAAAAGTGACAGCCAAGAAAGAGATTTTTCTGAAAAAAATAAAGCAAATTATGATAACAAAAAGTTAAAAGTGTACACAACTTAAGATAAAGAAAGGAAAGATAAAAGAAATAAAAAGAGAAGAAAGATTGTCATGCCATCATCTCCTAAAAATTTTGAAAAACATACCCATATCAATTTTGACAAATTAAATATTTTATCTAACTTTTGTTCTATCTAAGAAATGTTTGTCTCAACAAAAATATGGTGGTCAAAGTCATAAAATGAATAAAAATGCTTTTTTCATAGAGTATGTTGGCATGGCAAAAGACAAAAATAACTGCACACAGTTTGTTAGATCTCTGAAAAGTATAATCATAAGAGTTATTAAGATGAAAAAGAAAATATGAAAAATTAAAAGAAAGAAAGCATTTTTGTGAGATTATAAAAATGTGATCTCTTGAAGTTCACACATGTTATAAAACATTAATGGTTTGAATTTGGTTGTTCAATCAATTGAGCAAAAGTAAATATTCTATTTTTTTCACATTGCTGTTGTTTATACACGTGTGAACTCAAACTGAAACCCCATTGAAACAAATTCAACCACACCCAGAAACTATCAAAATGGCCATCTGATGTATTTCACCATCTATGCAACTAAAAATCATTGTTGATAAAAGCAGAAAACAATATTTGCAAAAAAAAAAAAAAAAAAAAGATAAATAAAAATTAATTAATCTTAGTGAAAAAGACTGGATAATACTTTCTATCAAAGTATTATATGTGAAATGGCACATTGAGACGATAAAAACAATACAGCTAGTCTATGATTTTGGGAAAAACTAGTCTTCACTATACAATAAATAATGCATTCAGCACTGCACAGATTTGTACATTTAAAAATAAAAAACCCCACGACCACTACACCAAGTACCTTTTCTTCTCAAACCTGGTTTTACCCCAAGGGCTGAGGGTCTAATCCCCAGATCTTGAGCATAATCCTTTTGCTCATCATGCGACAGGGGCATGGGGACCCAATCGTCCGGCATATCATCATCGTCATCGTCAATCAAAATATCTGGGTGATCAAAATCTGGGTGTTCATCATCAATCAAGTTATCTGGGTGCTCAGCATCAATCAAGTTATCTGGGTGCTCATCAATCAAGATATCTGGGTGCTCATCAATCAAGATATCTGGGTGCTCATCATCTTAATGGGGAGAGGACAAAGAAAAAGGTGCAAGAAATAAATATCAAGGTATGAGTAAGCACAATCCAGGTAAATAAACAAGCTTGACTTCTCACTTGTGATTTGGGTGTGTCCTTTTTTTATCACTTCATTAAGCTCTCAATGTAACATATTGGTACTTATAAAAGAAAACTACATTACAATAACTTTCAAAGTTTATTACGATTTAGAAACCATATATAATGTAATATACATACAGTGTTAATTCATTTTTATATACTAATAAAGGTGATCAGTAGAGAGAAGTCAAACTTGCTGTGTGTAAACACATTTCCCTGCACACAAGCTGATCACAAAGTAGATCTTATTGGGCAGGGGAAAAGCAGGAAGGCAATGCAGGATAAACTTAGTTACATTTTAAAGCAAACTATTATTTAAACCTGGGAATCATGGAGAATCAAATATGGTCTTTCTATTTATATAATAAATTAGAGAATAAGGATGGTTTTTGTGATTTTTTTACAAGTCCTGTTAAGAACAAATAAATAATAGTGTAAAAAAATACAGCAAACAAAAAAATATTAATAGGTCCCAGGTTCAAATAAAAATATATGTGTTTACAGGGTTCTTTAAAAGCAATTGGGCTAAAAATGTATGTTTCAAATATTATATTATGTGCAATATGGAGGTAAAAAGTGCCTGAAATATAGCTCAATGGGTTATGGGTCAGAGCATGTAAAATATTCATCTTCATTTCCTGGTGCTGAAAATGTAAATGGCAGCTTGTGTAATGCAGCAAGGGATAGCTATTATTAGTTTTGCTATAAAATGAAATCTACACATACTACCAGAAATAAATCTAAACATACTACAAGTAATGCTGCATGTGAGTGAAAAGTACATATTAGCACAATGAGGAAAACTTCTGCCATTTTTAAAAAATAACACCATGAAATTCAGTTTGCTTCGAATGTTTTAATTATGCACAACCAAATACCAAACCGTTGTTTTAGAAAGAGATTAAGAGAAATGCATGTTTTGGTATTAAAATAATTTGCTTTTACTCAGAAAACAAGAGGGTTTCCTCATCATGCTGTGCAATGTGTGGATCTTAACATGTCTAAACAGTGACTGGATCAAGCACACTATGTGCGTGTGGAGGGAAAATAAATACACAAATAACATTATCCAACAAATTTGTCATGAGAATATGAACTGCTTCTATACAACAAATGGCACTACTTATAATGTAAAAATATTTTTAAATTATACTAACAGAAACTGAAAGATTTTTTTCAAAAAGGGTAAATGTTCTTACACAAAGTAATGGAGTCTGTTTGTTTAGAAGCATTGCAATTAAATCTGACAAATTTGAATTAAAAGATAATGCAATACTGTAAGCCTAAAGCAAATTTGAAATCAATATACATATCTTTTCATTGGGAAAGGCAAAAAGCAAGATTATAAGATTATGCCAGCGACACCATAACACCAAAGTCATGAGCTAAGTATGTTTTTGACAAAAATTTACACCAACACATTGTACATAAATGATCAGAGACACAAAGATTTGCCAAAAGTGTGTGCTAAAAATAGTCTTAAAAACAGAAAAACAGTCCAGTTTAATTTAGTTTAAATTCAGGTATGATAAATACCAAGAATAAACCTAGATACAGGTAAGTCCCATTTAAATACATACTGTTATCTGATATTGGCTCATACCCTTTAATGTTATGATGAGTGGGTGTGTGTGAGGAAGCAGGGTGAGAAGATGTGATAAAAAAGAAGATAAGTATTGTTTTGCTCACCTTGTGCCCAGCTATTCTCTTATTGTGACTATTTTAAATGATTCTGGTGTACTTACTGTGCTCCAACTAAAACTGACTTAATATACATGTACTTACTACAAAAACAAAGATACCATATCATGCAATTAAACCTACTAGTTTTGCTTCGTAGTCTAGTTACATATCTGTTTAAGGTATTTCTAGGTAAATTGGTGGTGCTAACATGTTGTTTAATCTACCCACTCACATGTGACAGGATATTCTATTCTAAATCACACAATACCATTGCAAGTGGGATCTGAACTATTACAAAATATGAAGGGTTTGGTTAAATTAATTGAATATCAATTTTACATTATGCTAATAATGACTAAAAACATTCATTTCATTTTTATGACAAAAACAAAGTGGAGATTTGTTATAAATATAATAATAAGGGATATGTACATCAAAATAAGATACAGTCAAAGTTAAAGATAATGTAGGAATCAGTGCAAGGAAAATAATAATTCGAGGATTTTTTAGAAGAGCTAGAGCACCCAATACATTGTGCAACATAATTTTCTTTATTCAGAAGAAGCTTCCTGAATAAAAACTGCTTCTTCTAAACGTAACTGTTTGGTCCTGCCAAAGCATTCTTTCTTTCTTTCATTTCAGGTTATGCTCTTATTCAGTCCCTCCCTCAACTAAAATTACAGTTGACAGTTCTATTTTTCACAATAGTAGCTCTCTTAAAAATTCTAAAACCAAGGGATATTAAGACACATCACTAAAAGAAAAAAATCCCATATGGTGCTTTGCTTTCTTTCTCAAAGAAACAGACTTCTACTTGTAGTTGCTACAGCACCCTCTAGTTCCACCACCACCACCACCACCACCACCACCACCAAGCAATCAACAACCAATATGGTTTTGTCCTTGTGTCCTCTTTTCTTATATACTATACCTTCCTCTATGATGGTTGACTCTAATGGCATATGAGCCACATGTTTTCTCAGGTGATTATTCAAATCTTCCACATGATTTGCATGTCCTGTAATAATCAACCTTCATTATTTAAAACCATGCAATATGAAACTTAATTAGATATGTAGTCTTAAGCATATCAGTGGCTTCCTTCTTGGACTTGGACCTCTAAATTACCTGAAACTGAGATAAAAAAAAAAAAAAGAAAAAAAATTGTTAGTGAACTTGAAAAAGTATTGATAAATACCACAAATAACTAAAACAACAGGACAAACGAATCACCAAACAAGACAAAAACAACTTCACCCTACCTGGTTTCTTCTCATCCTTTTTGGGTTCTTCTTTTTTACCTGGGGCTGTTTTTTTCTCCTCTGGTTTCTTCTCTTCTGGTTTTTTCTCATCCTTCTTGGGTTCACCTTTTTTACCTGGTTTCTTCTCGTCTGTGATTTTTGAAGAGAGTGAGGGAAAGAAAGAGGTCGTGAAAGGAAGTGAGGTGAGGCATGCAAGAACGAAAGGGGAAAAATGAGACACTGTGATGTCTTCTGATGAACAAAAATCACAATTTCAAACAAAGAATAATTTTGAAATAATGAATAAATTTTGAAATAATAAACATTTCTGTAATTCCAAAATGGATATTTTGGCTTAATTGTTTTGATAAGAAAAGTAAACCAGTGATTTTTTTTTATTTGTTTTATTATAGTTTTATTGCCTATGGTAACAACACTAGTGTATCAAGATTGTCAGGTAAAACAAAAGAATACAGAATGTCAGCGAGTTCAGTTTCGATCATCCTATGTTCTTCTGTTTTAAAATATAAAGTCAGATTTAGTATGTAGGGATAGGAATTAAAGGAACTAAATAACAATTATCTGATAAGGGTCAAACTACTGCAATACCTTAAGCAAAGTGAACAAGTAGGGAAACAAGTGCTACAATGGAACACACAGTGTGTTCTGCTTTCAAGAAATCAATTTTATTTAAAATTCAACTTTTGTTTAAAGGAAACTGCCTATGGATGTACAGGCACTAGATCATTGTACAAAGAACTCTTTATCCATATGAAGAAAGAAAATTATAATAATGCCTATGGTGCAACTGAAATACATTCCCGTTACTCCTGGAAATTTCAGTATTTGTTTGGTCATGCATCATTTACCATTTTATAATAATCTGGTGCAAACATACAACATGACAAAATCACATGAAACAAGGCAGCAAGTCAATCAGGAGATGGATGATAAAATCATTAAAAGAAAAATATTTATTTAGTTCTTTTAGATAAAACATCTAAATGTTAGAAATGCTATGTGTGGTTTTCAATTTCATTTCAGGGCTTAACATTTTTCTACAGTTTTAACAGCTTTAGCAGTTACAGTGGCAGCTATGTAGGCATATGCACTCAAAGCACGGTCTGTGCAATTTTCATTAAAAGTTTTTATTTGCTACTAATAACATAGACTTCCGTGCCTGTGAATTGCCAAAATAACGTTTGGTATGGTACCAAAAATTACCAGGAAAGGGATAAGAAGGCAGGGACTTCAAATACACTACAGAGTTGCAGGTGCTATTTCTCAAATAGACTGATTTCAAGAAAACAAGTCTAAAGAGGCTAGAAGAATAGGGAGGTGGAGGGGAGTGCTCTGTAAAATACCATTTAATTACCTTTCTGTCCACTGTATGGGCCTTCATCCAAAAGATATTTGTCTGTCTTCTGACTGCACACCAACTACTTTGTACACTAAACACACTCAACACACTTGTGAACAAAAATAAATTGAAAGTTTTAAAAAAGCAACTCAAAATAATCACCCACCTGGTTCTACAATGGTTGGAACACCTGGCTTGCCTGTGTTATAAAAAAGCCCACAATAAACAAAAATTATAATGCACACTTTAATTTTGTAAATTAAATAGCAAAAAATTGAAATAAAAAAAACTTAAAATAATCAAATTATACTTATATAACTAAAAATAAAATAAACAAATGCATCACACAGGACTACATTTCATTCGATAGCTCTTCAAAGCATATAGCCTCTCGAGAATCTGTTATGAGTAATTTGAAACTTAAACACCTCATTGTCTTCAGGTATGGAGCAAGAGCCCAAAGATGTAAGTTTCAATTATAAGATGAGGTTTCATTTCTTTGAACCGCTTCAAATATATTTTTCTGTCCTTGTACAAAATGAACTTGGATCACATCTACCTTACAAATAAATAGTAAATTCTACTTTTCCCCTTTTTAAAAAATAAATAAATAAATAAATAACTTTCTGAGCAATTTTCAAAAATATTGGTCTTATGCAGAACTTTTTGTCTCTTTTATAAGCTATTTTATATGAAAGCAAACTCTGTCTAACATAACTCAACTGTTTTAATTTTACCACAACATGAATTAATTATCTTAATTTGATACATTTTGTATTATTAGTAACCTACCTTTCTTTTCTTCTGGCTTCTTCTCTGAAAATATAATTAAACTGAAATTGATGAAAATGGCTTACTCTCAATTTTACTCACAATAAAACTTTGAATAACTAACAATCAAAAGCTATTGCTTTAGTTAAAACTCTTAACTTCATTGTATTACATTGCACAAAGTGCTCATTATGTTACTTATTCACCTTCTGGCTTTTTCTTTTCTTCCGGTTTCTTCTTATCCTCTGGTTTCTTTTCTTCTGGCTTCTTTTTTTCCTCTGGCTTCTTTTTTTCCTCTGGTTTCTTTTTCTCTTCTGGTTTCTTTTCCTCAGGTTTCTTTTTCTCTTCAGGTTTCTTTTCCTCTGGCTTTTTCTTTTCTTCTGGTTTCTTTTCTTTAATATAGATTGCACATTTATGTTAAAAATCAGAGCAAACTTATCACATATTTAAATCCAAACCAATGAAAATTAAATTTTATCTACCCTACATTATTTTCTAACATATCATTAATTAAGCAATGTAAATGTGACATATACATGTATTAGATCTACTTTTCATTCACTCAAATTGTGTCAATCTCAAAAGGAACTGAAACATCCAACAGTTCAAATATGATTCACCAAAAAAAAAAAAAAAAAAAAAAAATCCTGTGGAATGAAAAACATGGTTACACAGTGTCCACTTTAATTCTCGGACGTTATGAAAACAAAATGCATTTCTTTTTCTGGCAGATTTAGTAATTGTTCATGCATATATGCATTTTATATTTGGTCAAGTATCTTAAGTCTCCTGGTAATGAATATGTTTGCAGAAAAGGAAAGCCATGTCCATACTAAAGTTTGAGCAATAGACAAAAAAAAAAAAGGTAAAAAAATAACATTTACTAGTATCATCACTTCCTGCAAGACAACTGGCAACAAAATTATATGTAAAAAGCCTGGCTCTGTTTTAGCACTGAACAGTTAGTAAGCAATACGCAACATAAAATACAGTTTGTAAACATAAGTTAGGGTAATAATAAGAGTACAGACCAAATAGTAAACCCTTTTTTATAAATACATGTCAACAAATTGCTTGGGATCCATGAAATTGAATGAGATTTTTCTCCATTACAAAACCCATGCTTTCTTATTGTAGTCAATGGCAAATACTGAAATTAACAGGGTAAAGAGATGCTGAATCATAATATAAAATGAACATATTAAACAAACATGCAACAGAAATCAAATATTTCATTACATATTAGTAAAAGAAATGTGAATAACTGCTGAGGTACCTGGTGCTTTCTTTTCCTCTGGCTTGTCTGCTGAAATAGAAGCATCATGAAAAAAATAACACAGTATACTAAAATATACATGTGTATATTAGTATGGTGTCTTCCTTGCCACTGTCAGATAATTTCGTATCCCAGACACAATATTACTGTTTATTTTTATGTTGGCATCAACTGCTAAGTAAATGTTTGTTTGTTTGATTTTCAAAATTGACTTCTGCTACTGATTCTAAACATGTTACCTTGCTTTACCTTGCATGTATGGAATCAATGCTTGTATTAGAGTATTCATTTTGAAATGAATCTATCATGTAAACAGGTATGAAAGAGGAAACATGCATGGAATAGTAAAGGTATGCTTGTCAAAAGCTGAGGAAGGACACACAGAGAGTTATAAAATGAATTCAAGATGAACACTTTTAATCAAGTGATTTGAAAACAATCATTTTTATACATTAAACATACTTAAGAATGCAAGATAGATTATCAACATCCCTTTTATTGGCTGGGGGAGGAATAAAATGCTGTGAAAAAAGCAGGACCTGTTTCACAAAGAATTTTCAAGTCAAGATAACAAGCTTATTTGTTCTTTTTATAAAAGTCTTTGGAGGCCGCTTAAGTATTTTTTTTTTTTTTTTTGGTCTTAAAACTCTACTACAGGAGATTGTTTGAAGACAATACAAATCTTGACTGGCATAGTCTTATCTTCTGACTAATACCTGACATGGTATCAATCAGACCTGTTCATGGTAGCAGAGCTTTCTCTTGGAACACATTTTTCATCAAATGGTCTTAAACTGCTTTGACTTTATGTGGTCATTTGAGTTCAGCAGCATTTATCGACTCAAATACTTTGTGAAACAGGGTCCAGGAAGGTGAAAATGTCAAAGTTCAGAATCACTGCATTCAAATCTGTGTAGAGAGAAATGAAAGTTAAGAGAAACAAAAACATCCCAGGTTTAAATCATCAGTAACAAATTTCTTCAAACATTACTAATAATTCAAAATTTAATTTACAAGTAATGTATAAAGAGATTTGTGATATGATAAAAGGGGATAGAAAACTGATCTATAAAGATTCTACTGCAGAACACCATTCTGAAAACGGACATCAATGCTTATCTATGTCAACTTGTTAAAAAAAAGTTTTGCAATACTGAGAGTGAGGCTGTTAAAACTGTTATGTGCACTGTCCCACAGTGACATTTAATGCTGAAAGTGCAGTCTTCATTAAAGCAGAGGAAAAATCTGACAATGCAAATACCTAAGCCAATCCTGTTTGTTGCCTTGAAATGTCTTAACCTTACCAGGCTTTTTCTCTTCTGGTTTTTTCTTCTCCCAAGGTTTCTTTTTCTCCTCTGGTTTCTTTTCTTCTGGTTTCTTTTCCTCAGCTTTCTTTTCCCAAGGTTTCTTTTTCTCTTCAGGTTTCTTTTCTTCTGGTTTCTTTTTCTCTTCAGGTTTCTTTTCTTCTGGTTTCTTTTTCTCTTCTGGCTTCTTTTCTTCTGGTTTC